TCACAATTTATATGTGCCAACTCTGTGGCAGCTCCAGCCCATCTCCCCTTCGTGCCACGCCCCCACTTCATGTCGTACAAGCGGCCACTTGTATCTTCGCCTTGTATCTTGATATGTTGATTCTTCTCCGCATTTATTTATATCACAATTACTCGCCTTTAACTTGAGGATTTGCGATGTTGTTTAGTGGCGGGCAAACTGTTTACCCAAGGGTTGGCTGGAGGATTATGGGATAGATTGTATATTGATTGCCTTCAAAATATATTGGTTTTGGAACTGAATGGTTAGCAAGAGAACTTTAAACTGATACGTTTTATAACTGCTCAAAGTATGGGAACATTTATAGAAAGAAAAGTATATAGAAACCCAAACTGCTTAACTTATTTGAAACAAACTCTTTCACTTTTAATTCGCACATTTGGCTGGTTCTCTGTGGTCCATTTCAGTTGTATTTATTGCACAATAAGCCGAGAGCAATTATATGAGGCACACACACAACACATTGTCCCAAATGGGAGGACCCCATGCCAGGCACAACCACCTCGGCAGCACCGATGCCACAGAAATACCCACTCTGTCGACCAGTTTACACTTTCTGCAGCACGGGCACAATTTATGCACTGCTGCGATTTTTGGCCGGCGGCATTTTGATTATTGAACCGAACCCGAATCGCAGACCCGATTCCGCTGCAAGCTGCAGGGAAACTTCTGTGCGGATGGTGGATGTGGTAAGTGGTATGTGGTATGTGGCGTGTGGTGGCTGCAACCACCAGAGGTTGCAACTAATTGAATTATTAGCAGCCCGAGCTGAAGCCTGGGCTATTGCGATTGGGATTGGGACTAGGACTGGGATGTTGGGTTGTCTGGCTCCCTGGCTCCGATTCTCTGAAATTATTGCTGTTGCGGTGGTTGACAAGGATCAGTGCCGACGCCTTATTTGTGTTCTTGCTCATTGCACCGGACCCCAGAATCCAGAATCCCGAATCCCGTATCCCGGATCCCAGATTCCTGCCCTCCCGTTGACCTGTCTCTGCCGAAAAACCCAAGGCCCGTGGGCAGTGGGTGGCCAACCTCTAACAAGCGGGTGTAGTTGCGATTCAGATTCGGATTCAGATTCAGATTCGGATTCGGATTGGGTTTGGCACTGGTTGGTTTGTGGGTTGGTTGGTTGGGCTCTGGTTTTCCATTGGGAGTGACACCGGAACGCCCTGCCCCGTGGCATTCTGCCCACTCTGCAACATGTGCACACGTATTGTTCTTGTAAATCATTGATTAATTCCTACGTTTGCATATGATTAGGGAAAGTCGTCGAGGGGAAAACTGGAAAAGATTTCAAATTTGCATTTTGACTTTTGTTGGTGGTGGGTGACTGAACACCAACCGCTAGTTGAGGTCACAACTGGCAATTAGTTTTATGGTGGGTGAAGCGACCTCAAGGAAAATTGAGGGCTATGTGGTGGCAGGTTATTAAATCAACCGAAAAGGGTGAAGCAAATTATTCTATTTTACGACTCGACACCCATTTCGAGTGGTAGTTTAAAATGGCTTTGAAGAAAGGTTGATAAGTGAAGGATTTAAATACCTACTATTCCAAACTATTAATATACTTTAGGTATAAGGTTTCAAATAATGCCCGTTTTTGAATCCAACTTTATTAATGTGACCATGACACAAAACAACCCTTCGGTTATCAACTATCTAAAATTATTTTCATGTAAGGATCAAAGTCACACTTTCCTGACACTCTGGGTTTCTGATTTCCCTCTCATCAGGCAAATGTCACGCGTGTCAGACTGCCAACAATGACCAGATATGTCCATACTTATATGTAATGTTTAATATCCATGTGACACACTCACTCCTCGGAGACGTGGAACTTTGCAATGCAAACTTGGTATCTGAGTGGACAAAGTTTGCTTACTTTGTGCAAACTTTCGACCACGACCACAATGCAGAATGCACAGAATTTTCATAAACTTTGACACTTTGGCTTCTAGTGGCTCAAACTTGGTCATTGGCAAACACATCTAACAATGTGGGTAGGATACATAGAAGCATATATACTCATAAAACAGAGAAGAATCCAAAACTGGAGCAGACTTCTGCTTTCAGGAGTAGGAAAATGTCCTGCGCTTCCGCACAATTAGTTTGTTCCTTGCCAAGCCGACACAACCCGTTCCCCCGGCTTTTCCGATGGCAATTTGCAAGGTGCTAAGCGCAGCCCGAACAACAACAAATCACTTAGCCCTAATGGCTTATGGTGAAAGTGGTAAGAGTGAGGGTGCTGCATTTAACCAAAAAACCTCAAGCAGTTAAGCGTCGTACGAGAAGCTGTCAAACGGTTGTCTTTTCTTGTCAGCCTCGCTTAGACACAACAAAGTAAGAGCTGGCGAGTACTGGAATACCCTATTAAGACTTCTATTAAACTTGAAAAAATTAAAATATAATAGATACTTTTATTTGATTTCTTATATCCTTATTTAGTTAAGAGAGTACGTTTTTTTCGAATTTTACTTAACCATAATGATCCGTAACCTTTAACTTATTTATTTCCATCACTAAGCCTGTCTGCAATAGACACATATCCAAGGTAAAATAGGGTATGATCTGAAAGTGGAGCATTGCACGACGATGCCAAAGACTGAGCTCCGCTGGCAGATCCTATCCCCTTCCCCAAAAAAAACCCCTTTATAATGAGCGACCCAATTAGGCAAAGTGAGTGGCAGTGAGAAAGATGCATATGAACCACAGAACAATTGAACAATGTGCAGCCAGCAATTAACCAAGGAACCTGCCACGCCAGCCAGGCATCATAAAAGGCCATAAAAAGATGATACCTCGCGGAGGCAGGGAAAATTGACTTCCTTATGGAAACGCAAAGACGTGAAAAGCAGGCGCTTGACTGCATAATTGATATCATAAACGTTTATTTGCGCAGAAAAAGATATAGGATTTTGATACAGCATGGGGATGGTAGTCGTGAGATGTATCTTAAATTTGATGTGATTAAATCTCGTTTGAAAATTGTTTTACTTCCATTTACTTTCCAAATTTTACTTACCATTTCCAGATGCTTCCCCATTTAACGAAGTCAACCACAACATGTGCTTGTCATTTAGCCAGTGCCGATCAATTGCACATAGTTTGTCCAGTTGTCTGGCTGCCGTTTGTTTATTAGATTTGTCAATGCAACAGTTTTTTCTGTACGCTTTTCCAGGACAATTGAGGGAGGTAGCCACTCACAGGGCCATAAAAATCATTGGAATTGCAAATGGGATGGTAAAAAATGGGAAAAACTTTCGGGCACGACAAATGCGCCCTCAAACTTGTTGGCGGTGTCACATGCAGGCGATGCGTATAAATTAGAGTCGCCACCGAGAGGCCATTGTGCGGCATCTTAAATGTCAAAAGTGACACCCCAACATAGCCCCGGCTTTTTGGCCTTTGTCCAGCGCACCTGAATCCTGAATCCAGAATACAGAATACAGAATTCTGAGTCCTGAGCCACTCGGCACATTTGGCACAAGCTGCTGGCGAAAACAATAAATTTCCCTTTTTGCAAAGGATGGCAAAGGGAGGAGGACGCGTACATGGAACTACTCATTGTAAGGACAACCATCGAGGGGCGGTGACCAGCGGGAGTGGGGCAAGAAAAATGATGACCACTGGACGCACGGGTGAGCATTCCACCCACTGCCATTCTATTGCATAAAAAACAGCGTTACGACCAAGGAACAAGTTGCTGGCTAATAAAAAGAGGACGGAATGGGCAGGAAACCCGGGGACAAACCAGTTTCAAATGCATTGCAGGGGAATTCCGAAAATGTGGCCGGGGGCTAGGTCACCATTATGTCCAGGTTGAGGGTGTTTAAGCGGAAAAGGTAAGTGCCATTGAGGTGGCTGCTGCTGTTGCTTTTAGTCAATATCTCAGGCATTTTGCAATTTTTCTTCATTTTTTTAGCACTCACACATCGGCACGGACATATGTGTAAGTTACCCGGAAGTTAAGCTGTTGTTTATGTGTCATAATAAATCATGTTCAATGCACACGAAACAATTTCAGCTAAGTGGGTAATGGAAAATGCCCATGTAGCCACTTCTTCCGATTCCTTACTCATGAAACCCCAGATTTGAGTAGTTCTTATGGAGTCACTGATTAAATGAAGTGGGGAATACTAGTCCTTGTAAATAAATCTGAAAATGGAAACATGTTAGAAATATTATGGACTTCAGATATGGAAAATTTCCTTCAAACTTGTAAGGTAAGAGTAGTTAAGTACTTCCTTCATCAAAATATTCTAAAACCATATCCTGAAAAACTGAAATGAGGCACACCATATATCCTTTAGTCATACCACCAACCAGGTGGAGCGCCCCAGGATATCCCAAAATGGTTTAATGTATTCACATAAGCGCACCCACGAATCCCAGTTGACTTTTTTTAAACGCTTCTAAATGCAAATAAAAGAAGTCACTTAAAAAATTATTCAGCCCACACTTGACGCGCAGGCGACAGGGAACATCCTGCGGAATGGAAAAATAAATGTGTTAATGTTCGCCCGAAACGCTTTTCGAATTCATGTCAGTTTCGGTTTCATGAGGTAACGAAATTCACAAATTCGCGGTGGGTGATTGTGCGGAGGGGCACGCGTGTCACTTACAGTGATTCACTGGGAATGGGTCTGGAAATGGGAATGGAATGATTCCCGGGGGAAAGGTTGAGAGAGGGAAGACGGCTTCTCCTGCGCAAATGGCATCTACGTGGTCAGGTTCCAGATTGGGTCTTAAAAATTGGGTACCAGTTAAACTCTGTCAAAAATATATATTTTTATTTACAGTTGTAAATATTGCATTAAACGTAAATATTTTAAAACAACTCTTTTGATCGTGGCCAGCTGTTTCTCTGGAATTTGCTTAGCCGGTCTCAAGTTCAAGGTTTCATATAAACCTATATAAATACCTCGATCGATTTAAGGAACAGTTCAGTTTCGATTGTGAAAATGTCAGCGCGTCTTCATTTCGGAATCATCTTGGTGCTGTATTGTATAAGATTGAGCTATAACTACAGGATCATAGAAATCAATGAAGATTTAAAAACATGTCCTGCCCTAAATAGGGATAGAATATTTGAGAAACCGCATTTGAATAATAACCAAAGGGAAATTTACCACGTTCATAAAATACCACGAAGACATCACTTCAACTCGATTAAAAAGGAAATTAAATCCGAAAACTGGCTTTTGCGGATTTTTAAAATAAAAACCATAAACGATGGACCAAGTCGAAAAGTCTCAGAAGCACAAGAAGATAAACATACGAGTATGGATGGATTTGCTAAAAGGCTTTTTAATATTCTAAGACAGACCCCTAAAATGGAAGATCCCTCCCATAATCACAAAAACGAGCACAAGACCCTGCTCGTGTTAAAGAAAAATCCTTTTTCGCCAGAACATCACATAGTGCGAAGGGAACCAGTGCAATACAATTACATGTGACTTAACCCAGAGACATAAAGCTTCCTTCATTAGTTATTACAGCACCCTTATCAAAAGTCTCACTTAGTTATTAAGATCTATTACCCCTAATTAGGCAAACTTTGTTAGAACACATGTTCCCAGAAAGATGGCAATAAATTAAATAATTTTCCACTGTATCGCAGAGGGGTTTAAACTTCGAGACACATTGAAGAGATTTTCAGCCATAAATAATTCCCTCATATGAAAATTCTCTGCTCTCTATGTCACTTGATTGCGGTTTGAATGAAGCCCCAACCCCACCGCACTCCCACCATAAAAAATTATATTATATGCATGACCCCAAATTAATCTAGCGAAACCTTTCCCATTTTGCTACAAGCTTCAACCCCTGTTCAAAAGGACATCAAAGCCAGTGAAGTATGACAAACGAAGTTATTTGAATACGACCGTAAATGTCATAGGAGAACAAATTAAATTTGGCTCTTGGACCTGGCCAACAGCCTTAAAAAATAAGAGGCATACAAATTTTATGGCCCTCGACTTTCATGTCGACATCAGCAAGATTTTTTACGGGATATACAATGTTTATGCTGAAAAATGAATTCCAAGAATGAGCTTAAAAATATTTTAAGAAAATGTCCATAAAATGCTCAATTTTAAAATTAATTTTCTAGATAACTTAAAAACTTAAGCTTCAAAACTTCTGCTGCAAATTTATTCAAACTTAGCTGCGTTGAATTTCGTAGCATGGCAACTTCTTTGCAATATGTTGCCGCCAGTGGTAAATTGAAATTATGCAAAAGTGACAAAAGGAGAAAAAATGTAAAACAAAACTAAGAAATAGAAACAGCATTTCATTTGCAATGCGAAATGTTGGCTCAGGCGGTGTCCGATTCAGATCTAGACACTTTGCCACAGCCAAAAATAAACTCATTCGCATGCAGTTGGCGTTTCGCAAAGTGGATATTGATATTTTGTCCTTAAATTTTGTTAGTTATGCGGTGAAAATGTTGGGGAAAGCGTAACCCCCTCGGCAAACTGAAATATACGAAACAGAAGTTTTGAATTTGCAGTAGCGCAATTCTGTCGAGTTGTGCAAATTTAACGCGACATTGTCTGAGACGCAGGACTCCAAGGACCCTCCCCTTGTGCCGTTTTTATTTAGTTCGTTGGGGGTGTGTGTCCTTTGCCCATTGACATTCAAGTCATGTGTCAGAGCAGAGGCCGATGCTTAACTCTGACAGACCAAAGCCCGAAAAGTTTGTCCATAAATTGTTGCAAAAAAGGAAAATGTTTCAACACGTCGAAAGGAAAATCTTGTTCGACACAGGCACTTGAAATTTTTCAATTGCCCGCAAATTTGTATTAAGAGTGCGTGAAATTTATGATTGACAAATTGAATTTGAAAATGGAGCAATATTTTTGAATACTATTACATGGGCTACAAGGGCGCTCGGAACTAATATTGAATATTGGTTCTCTTTAAGAACCTTTTTTTACCGCCATAAATGTAGACATAGAAATGATAAATGATCCTTCAATCGTTTGGCTTTAACATGTCCCAAGGAAGTTGCCAATTCGTCATGGCCTCGAATTGTTTGGCCAGCAAAGTAGCCTGCAGGACATTTGCTTGGACCTCCTCTACAACAAGTCAGCTAAGCTCTTTTTCGATATTGTTTTGGCATAAAAAATCACTAAACACCCCATAAGCAAAGCCATTAAACGTAGGCCCATTAGTGTGCGGGAATTACGGAGGAAAAATCTGAAACAGTTTCTTGTTATCATTTTTATTGCCGCCTTGAGTATGTGGGCGTAATGGTATAAATCTTGATGTTTATAAATCAGTACTCGATTTCATAGCCCCAGGGACCAGGCTGCGTTAAAAAACTATAATGAAATACGTAGTTAGGGGTATAAATACAAGTTAATATGGTGAGATTATATTATATTGTATGAGATTATATTTTAAAGACACAAAGTAAACAAAGACCTAAAACCTATTCTTTTCTAACCAACAAGTCGACTCTTCAGCATGTCTTCGCAGCCATTGACCTTGATCTCCAGCCATATTTTCCCATTTCCCCCTAAAAATGTCTCGCAAAGAAAATCACATTTTCATTGTGAGAGATTTTTTAATATGCAAATAATTTGCTAGCCAAATAGCAACCAACTGTGACCCGGCTGATGACAATGACACTGCCAACGCCCCCGAACGGAACCCGAAAGGAACAAAAGTCGCCGGGATACGGAAAAAGTCAAGTCGAGAACAATGCGACTCGAGGCGAGGCCTACTTGCACTTGCAAGAAAGTTCTGCCTCATTTTATGAATATCTTCTCGGTTCGCTTTTTGGCTCACATTTGTGTGTGACACACAGCTGACAGCTGCGGTCGTCGTGGTCCTGGTAAATGGTCCTCATCCTCATCCCCATTCCCATGCCCATCCTCAAACCCATCCCATGCTGATGCTGGTCCGGATGCCACGGAGTGGTGGCTCTTGCCCCGGCTCAAACTTTGACTCCGGTGATGCGTGGCCATTGTGCGCATTTGACGTTCGGTTTATTAATCAGTTTGGCCTGCGGCCGTGGTCCATGGAGCGACCAACGTCACAATTTTCCACAAATGAATAATTTTTGTACAAGGGAAAATATGAAGCAGCAGCCAAAAAGGCAAACCCCCACAGAAAAATGTGTCACACAGGGGACTACATTTCAAACATATACTTACATATAGCTGGGTGTTAGCATATGCAGAACAGCTTTGCGGAAGTATCTTTTCAAGCCAAAAGTATATTTTTGAAAAATTTTAACAATATCATAAGCTAAATATCTTTTTTTAATTGGTACAGAACACAGTAGTACTTTCAAATCACTTATGAAAGTCACTTATGAAAATAACAGCAGCCAAGTTCAACTTTTTGGACAGGCTGATAACAGACTACAAATCCATAGTTTGGAGTAGTAAAGTTAATAAGAATAGTTCACCATTTTATTGTTATTAAAGAAATTTAGTCAATTTACAAATATTAGAGTGCTTAAAAGTTCGGCACGCACCCATTTGTTGTCATATTTTTTGTGCAAAGCAGGTTTCGCATTTTAATTTCAGCAGAAAGAAGCGAAAGTCAAACAAATGTCAGTCGCGTGTTAATCAAGTGTAAATAAATGGCGCAAAGATTAGAGAGTACCGCCAAGGCAGCAACTGGAACCACAATGAAACATTCTGAAAAGCCCAGAAAACAAAAAAAAAACAAATGAAAAGGAGGAATTCCCAAAATTGAGGGGTGTGATGCAGACAAATAAAAAAATGCAAAAAACCGGAGAATAAAAAAGTGGGAAAAACATTTAATGGTTTTTTAAATGTTTTTTAAATGTGCGTGAAAAATCTGTCACTTCGATGAAGAAAGAACTTGAAAACGCTTTAAGTTTTCTTTGCCCCCCCATCCCAATGGCCGATGCAAATTAGCCGCCAAAGTTGTTATCATCGAAGCCCTCGCCCAAATCCCGAAGCCATTGGACAGGACCCAAGCAACGCCTACGCCCAAGTGAGTCCTTAGACCCCGAACTTCAGACAAATCCTGCCTGCCCTGCGTGTCCGCATTTGAAAATTGGGTTTGGGGTGTACTGAAGTGGTGTTGATGATACTATTATCTTAAATCGCGACGGGAAAGGCGACTGAGACCCATGCGAAGCTGTCGACGGACGCGGCCACTTCAATTGTCCTTTTTCGGCGGTGGCATTTACAATTCATAGATAGAGACGGAAAAAATCGTTTTATTGGCTTTAAGGTCCTTTTTGTCGCCTCAGCGACATGAATAAAGGAGCAGCAACAAGGACATAAACCGCAAATAACTTGAACACTCTGCGACCGGAGGGTTCCCTTTGTTATTGCATTTCCTCGTGATTTGTGTATTCCCGGGCCGGCGGAAGAGTTTGAATTTTACAATTTTTTCGCCGTCTCCAAGTCACAGTGGGGCAAAGTGTTACGAAAATGTAAAACTAAAATTGATCTTTTTAAACATTTTTTACCAACAAGGATGTTATATATTTTATTGGTTTACAACTTATTGTCTTTTCAGCTTATTAGTAATAATATTGGATGAGATTAAGAGAATTTCAATACCTTAAGATATATCCCTTAAAAGGTTTGGTTTTCTATTTATTATTTGTAAATGATTTTTATAGCACATTCAATCCTCCAAGACGAGCAACAACCATTGGACCACTGTTCTGGTGATTTTGTCGCGCTAAAGGGGTGCAAATACTGCAATTTGTAACATTATTTGTTTTTCTTTTGGGCCTCTCCCCACCGCCAAAACGACATTGCTTGAAGACACAATGCTATCTAATCTTATTTGGTATTATTTCTGCGTTAAACCTGCATTTCAGCGCTTTCCCATCTCACAATGCCCGGCAATTGTTGTCCTTAACAAGGAGACGAAACTTTAAACTTCCGAGGAGTAAGCTGAGTGGAACCCAAGGATCCTTTGCCTGGAAGGGCAGTTTTAATGATATTTACAGGAAGTGGCAGAATCGCATCAATCATTTGTCAGCCATAAAAATTCGTCACACACGAGCATTAAATTATACAACGAAAATGGCCAGAATGTCTTTGCCGAAAAGAGCGGCAGGAATTCTTAATGGTTGCATGCAGTGAAATGACCTTGTAAGTTATGTCTGAAAAAATCCTGGTCGAAGTGAACCCAAAGCTTAACGATGGCCGGTCACTCCTGTGGGGCATCGCATGGGATTGAGATCCTGGGCCGGCATGTGTGGGTCCTCGTCCTGAATGCTTTAACCCACAGCCACCAACTCAGTCGCCTGGTGTGCCCATTCACATGTGAACATTTATTGGAAAACATTATTATTTATGGCTTTTTGAATGACATCGCTTGAACTTTTCAAGCAATAAAGTAACGTACAATAATATTTCCTTATAACGGAAATTGCGAGCTCTCAATTTTTCTATAAAAAATAGAAAATTTCGAGTTTTGATTTATGAACATATTCATTAGTACGGTTGCTCAAAATTGAGTAAAATCCATAATATCATTCACAAGCAGGGGGATTTATATTAATGATCTTGGACTTGTCATTGTGCTTATATGGAATGGATTTGAAATACACATTTGACAATGTGACTTTAAATGAAAGCAAAGTGTTTTCAGGCAGCTTACAGTCAATTTAGTCAGTTTTATTAAGGCTTCGTTTATTTAACAAATAAAATATAATAAAGTAAAGCTATAAATAAATAAAATCCCAAGTAAGCCGATTGCAACATACATTTCCATGCAATCTAAAATGAAAATCTGAAGCCACATTATTTCAGACAATTGATGCGCAAGAAACCCAATAGTTAAAGGGTTTGGGATTACCGAGTTCAAGTCCTTGGCCACCCGGGACATGTAAAGGATGCGTGGGCGTTTAAGATTTGATCAAATAAGCACAAGGCAAGGATTATTCTAAGTAATTTCTAGACATTGTTTAGCGGGATGTTAGGGACACGAGTGCCACCATGTGGGTGTGTGTTATTTTAGTGTAAAATGAGATCGACTTTAAAGTGAAATATCACCAAAGCAGGGGCATTTGTTTTTATTTACTTACCAATGCGATTACATAGGCCGCTTCGGCTTATTTACTGCCCTGCTGCCGTATATATATATATATATGTACATATATATGTATATGTATCTGTGTTATCGAAGGGTATATCTGCGAGCTATATATGTTAGATACGGGCTCCAGGCGCATGACCCATTCCTGAACTCGTGCAAAGCTTTTTGCTGGCGACGGCGCCACGAACCTTTGCCTTCTCGCTCTAAGCCACATGATGCCATCCTTGTCGGCTGTGTGTATAGGGTGCCGTGGAGTCAAAGTGTAGATAGCAAGCTGCCATAGGACGAGGACGACAAGGATGTTGAATACATATAAAAATGTCTAAGGTGGAGCAGAAGCCATGACTGCGGCCATGACAGCGATAATGTATACGGGAGTGGGGAGGCAGCCACATCCCCATCCACATCCACATCCACTTAGGTTAGGAGGAGGTAGGTCCTGGCGATGTTGTAGGGTTGCCAGGACTCAGTCGCATACCACTTCCACCTTCCGACCGCCTACCTACGACGTTCTCCGGCTTTCTCGCTATTTGAGTTTGGGTCCTGGTTCACTTTGTGGGTATTAAGTTCGTTTTAAGGCTAAAGACAAACGTCTCCATCTCTTTCGATGTGCCTTTCTCCATCTCTTTCACTTAAACCCTGGTTGCACTTTTTGTGCTCCTTCCAAATGAAAACTGTTTTGGCGACGGTGAGTCAAAGTCTTTAAAGTTGCACAAAGGGGATTAGGACTGTTCCCACATAATTAATCAGCTGCCAGTCTTTGGTCACTGCATAAAGATTTAGTTCCAAGTTATGACTTCTTGTGGTGCAGTTTTAAAAACAAAGTCTGGTTAATTTAAAATTAGAAAATCTATTTGCGACAATCATAACAACAATCCAAAATCCACGCATTGCATTTCTTAATGCTCATCCACATTGGGGAGGGGAAAATGCCAGTCGTCACTTTTTATGACGCACTTAGTTAAACGATATGGACAATAGCAAAGCACCGGGCACCGGGGTAAGCAGGCCATGGAAAGTGGTCTTCAGAGGCAACCCCAAGGAATTTGAGGTACTGGCCACGTTGACAGCCCTTCCTTATCCGCCCATCGTCGAGGGAATTTGTTTTGGTAAGGGGGTCCCGGACGCTGGTTTTTTATCCAGCTGATGGGCCAAGCGGGAGACTTTTGTTTTATCGATGGCAATACATCAGCCATCAATATGATTAACCCACACGGACTGTGTCGAAGTGCCGAAAATCAAATTAAATTGCCCAGATGTAAGTGTTAGTGACAGATTCGGACACTCGCTTGATTTATGCATAGCAAATCGATAGTTTGTGTTTGTCCTTTGAGAGAAGGGATCAGTGTCGGATGTGTGCAGTCGGTAAAAACATAATTTATATTCACATCTCCAAGATATTTACTATAAATGGAGAGTACAAAAATGCTTTAACAAGTAGATGCAGGCTGTCACTTCTTATTCGCCCGCTGCTCATACTTCTCCTCAATAAACTTGAATACAGAATCGATGGCCGAGTAAGAGGTCCACTCATGCTTGGTGTGGCCAGCGGAAATCCTCCGGATGCTGCTCTTTGACTGTGAGACGGGTGTGTCCAAGGGTGTGTTGCTGGCAACCCAGTCGCAGGCCACATCGCACAGGTACTCCCTGTTCTTGGCTTGCGGACTTCCCATAGCCGCATCAGTGAAGGCAATGGCAAAAACGGATTCCTTAAAGAAAACCGGGAAACGCTCCACCTAATCAAGTGAAGATGTAAATATGATATTGAAATGTATTTTGCATTTTATACCCACCAGATCCAGAGTGAGACTACCACCGTAACTGTGGGCCACAATGGCCACACTCTCCGGATTCGCGGGCAACACTATGTTCTTCCACACATATTTAGTGTGCTCTACGGACGTACTAACGCCCTTGACGGGGTTCTCCTTTCCATTGTAGAATCGTGTGCAATCATTGGCGTTGGTGATGAGGAGATCGTATCCTAGTTTTTGAGCCTGTCGCACGTAAGGCAGCTGGGTACCGTGATCCAGGGAATTGTTGATAATCAAACTATAACAAAATCGAATATGACCCATCCAGGAATAAATGGGGTACTAAAGTAATGTACAGTTTCTATAAATTTAGTTGACTTATTAGATACAGTAATCATCTTAATATTTTCCGTATTACATAATTTTGATCTTTATTTAAATAGTGGTCATACGCACCTTCTGGCCCACTGTCCGGCCTTAACGTATCCACTGCCATGGATGAGGACCAGCAACTTCTTGGACTGCGACAGCTTTGCCGGCTGGGAGAATACGAACGATGAGCGATCTGGAGGCTGGTCGAAAGGGATGTAAGTGCGGCTAAGACCGTTTTTCTCCAGCAAAGCGTAGACAATTTCTGGGATTTGCTGTGGGCGATGAAGTATACAGATTTTGTATTACTCATTACTATATAGATGGGCATATTAAATAATATTTCTGGTAATGGCATTAGTTGTCTAGTTTCTCTTGAAAAGGAATCCTAGGAGTGGATTCTTTGGCAAGTGAACCTAAGCAGGAGAAAATCCCATCACATATGCCAAGTAGAATTCCGGTACATACGTTGGCCAGCTTCTGGTAGTGCTTCTCGTTCTCGGCGGCATCTTCGCTGATGTTGTAGGAAAAGAGTTCCTTGCCGGGCTCCCCGGTGGCGGGATCCACTTTGCGCAGCACTCCTTCTGCAGGAGAGAATCGGGCAGATCATATTACCAAGTAGCCACCATGTGCAACATCGTACTTACCTCCATCGAATGCATATCCAAAGTTTTTCAGCTGGATGAGAGCCTGTTCACAATTGCTGGCCGGTGGCGGTGAGTGCGGCATTCGAAAGCTTCTGGCGGGGCGAAATATTTTGATAAAATTAGACATTTCAATCGGTGGTATGGTTTCTACTCCGATCGACACTTACGGAGTAATAAAGCGACCGGGAAAAGCTTTTATTTATATAGAATTCTTGCTCGCGTTTTTGTTTTGATTTGCTTGATAAACGCCGAAATAGGGATGGAATTAGCGCGCCACCTACAGGCCGCAAGCTCAAATCGGCTAGCGATAGCTATCGATACCAAAGCCAAAGTGGCAATTCACACTAAGACGCATCACCGCCATTAAAAAAAACATAAAAATGTTTTAAATTAAAATATTATATTAAAGCAATGTTTTAGAATTTACTTAAAAAAAAAAATTGATAGTTTTTGGCAATTAAACTGTTATAATTTACTTATAACCCTAGATCAAAGAACATATTTCGTATTAAACTGCTAAAACCTGTCTTTCCATACAGTGCGATTAATCCTTATGATATCTACTTTCGCAACCATATAGTCCATAGATTCCTGAATCCAGCTGGAGTATGCGGTGATGCGAGTAAAGGCATAGGGTTTCAATGGGGTGCACGCTTTCCTGCCATAGGATAGTAATCCGTACAGCTTCTCTCTTTCCACATTCATCAGGGGGGCTCCAGAATCGCCCTTAAATTGAAATGGAATATGGTTTCTCGATTCAAAAATGTTTTGAAATAAGCAAATTAAAAGATTAAATTGATCTTCGATTATGAATTTCTGGAGTATTTCTGATCCACTTACGTCGCAGGGTCCTTTAGGTCCTCTCAAATGCATCGCACAGATGTCCAGCGGCTTGAGGAATACGAAACGATGACTTCGCTGACACTCATCGTTTTCCATCGTCAAGAAGGGCATTTCCTGGAGTTTCTTTGTCTTGCCGATGCCAACCCGTCCCCATCCCACCAGCGAGGCCTTGATGCCACTATCCCTTTGGGGCTTGGCAGCGAAGTTAATACTTCGAAATCGGACATCGTCGAGCGGGAATTTGGGATAAACCCTCACCACGGCGATGTCGTGGCCGCCGAGCACCTTAAACTGTGAATGAAATCTTCTTTCTACGACAATGAAGCGGGTCTGCTTCCGGCTGTTCAGCAAATCCGCGCCACCGGACACGTACAATTGTTTGATCGGATTCGTTTTGATGCAGTGGGCCGCACTGAGCACGAACTCATTCGAAAGTATCACGCCCACGCAGAGGTGCTTGTAGTATCCTTTAAGGTTCTCTCCGATGGAGACGATGTAAGGATAACGAGGGCGAAGGCTTATCACCTTCATGGTCGACAGAGTTGTTTTTAGCGACGGTGTGGCAGCCTGTGGGATGTCGGATACCGTCTCCTGGCCCGCCGACATCGCGGCGAACAACGCTATGGAGCAAAGAGATCTCCAGCAACACATAGCTGCGACCACGTTCCAAATACAAAGACGTCACAAATACGTCTTGGGGTGCAGCTTTTATCATCAGGCATCTTTACTTAATAATAGGGCATGAAATTATAATTTTCTGTATTCTCACATGGATTATTTTAAATGAATATAAATTTAAACTCCATTACATTATCAAACTTCATAAAGAATAGCAATATTTTTTGTAGCAGAATTATGGTTACTATCTACACGTCTGCGAAAGTATTGATAGTTTGAAAATAGCAATTAAGATCCCTATAACGTGTTCAATGGAAATGCTACTGGCTAGCGACAGAATCTTTAAGGCTCTGCTTCATATTGGCCACCTGGTTGAGCTTGGCAAGGCGCTTCATGATTTCGAGCTCCTTGATAAACGTGGCCAGCGCTTCTTTGGTGGTCGAGATGTCTGCGTCTTTTAAGTCATCCAGCGTGTCCTCCTTTTCAAGTTCTGAAAGGAATTCAAAAATAGATTAATTTTCATATTTAGGTAAAGTTAGCTTTGTGATACTAACCCTCTATTTCTGCTTCTATGTCATCCAACCGATCGAGGACCAATGATTGCTGCACCTTCACATGTTCGATCAAACGGTACTGGCACTCCTCGGGATCGATGGCCGCCTCCGGTTGCGGAACGTTCGGAAGGTCAGGGGGCTCCAGCTTTGGACGCTTTACCGGTGTCAACGCAGTAGAGCCCAGATTGTCTTCGTCCCACTTTTTAGCCCACAAATACAGCTTTGGGTGACAGCGGTTGCGTGCGATGTTTATCTTCACCAGCAGGGAGTGCATCGATCGCTTGGCATCTAGTAAATTGCCGGTCAGCGTGTGCGAACGCTTCAAGAGCTCAAATTGTTTGGTGGTCTGTGGATTTGCAGTGTGATACGCGGCCACCGGCAACTTTCCTTCGTATAGCCAGTCCTGGTCGTGCTTAAACCTCATTGAGTCCCGACCCCTCGGCGGATTACGACAGATGTAGCAGACGTACTTGTCCGGCACATCTGACTCTTTCATAATTCCGTTGCATGCACCGTGCTGCCAGCATAGGCACAGTTCACATTGGATCATCAAGCCGTCCTCTTCGCCATACTCGCAGATGCAGTTGATGATCTCCTCCTGCCGCATGCGCACAATTCGAATTAGTTCACCGTTTTCCTTGATGTACTGTGGTGCTTTTGTAAGAGTGTCAGCTGGAGGTGGGGCAAGGGCTGCATTAATGTCCGCCTGGTCATTAGACGACGGCGTGGACACCGAATCTGCCATGGCTGGTGAGTCGATGGAACTGATGGGAGTTGCTGCCGCACCAACGCGGCGTTTCTTTGAGTCGATGCGTGTATCCGGAGTAGGGGTGTTAAAAGATTGCCGAGTCTCCTCAGCATCTTGTTCGGCTAAGGCATGTCCCGCCGAGCTATCTGTCAAATTGGGGCGACGCTGAGAACGCTGGCGGTTGCTTTTCCGCGAGCCAGATGGTCGCTTCGACGGTGACAAGCGTGGACGCTTGCAGGAACGACTCAAGGAGGGGTTCAACGATTGAGTTGCACCTCTAGCCTCCAGGGAAACATCTTCTTGCGCAATGCCACTTTCAACAGGTGACGCCAACACACTTGGTGGCTCCATCTTAGGAGATAGCAGGGTCTTAGTAGGCGAAGTGATAGATGCAGTTCCCGGTCCACCTGGAGATGTGGCCGTAGCTGATACGCTCTGACGTTTAAACGAGCGCGACTGCTGTATGTCCTGCTGGTGCATTTTGGCAAAGAATTGCTGGTTGGGTATCTGGTTTTTCGGCACCGCCTCACCTTGCTCAATCGATGAGGGATGTGTGCGTTTGACCGCTAATTCCTGCATCTTTGGGCAGTGGCTCACGTGCCTGTAAATTTAAAGTAAGTTAGGTGTCATGAGTATTGTCTGAATTCTACTCACTCTGCAAATTCCTTGTGATAGTGGCGAATGTGGATAAGCAGAAAGTCTTCTTTGCGATAGGTCTTGCCGCAGTCTTCGCGCGGACATACGTAAAGATTGTCCTGGATTTTGACTTTTAGACCCCCAATGAAAGCTGAAACATAAAATAATTATTAATTTTACTATTTAAGTCAAGTGATTTTAGTTGCCACGCGTTAATACAAATTGTATATACTTACCAAAACCGTTTTCCACCACAGGAGGATCTCCTGACAAAAGCTGAGAGGAACCGCCCTCAGTGGCTTCCAGTAGTTCTGGTGTTGCCTTGGGCTTTGCCTCATCGGCGGCCTGTGTCTGCGGCGACATTAACTCGGCTGGGGGCACTAGCGAGGCCACCGGTGCTTCCATGTACTGGCTTTCTTTCACCGGCATCGGAGTAGAAGGTAACGAGGGTTGCGACGTGATGCTCTGGTCCAGCGTGGAGTCCATAGACACATCCATGGCCTTGGGCTTGGGCGGTGGTTGGGGATTGTAGTCGTGTGTGTAGACGTAAGCATTGATGTCTTTGGCACGACGTCGATGGATGCTAAAGTCGTACACATCCGGGTTGTAGACCAGATTCTGGGACTCAAGGAACAACTTTAAGTCGGACTTGGAGCGGAACCGTTTGCCGCTGGGCGAGACAAGAATAACATCCCACTTGCCGAGAACGTTGGATCGCTGGTACATGTGCTTGATCCAGCCAGGAGGCAGACGCCAGTCCTGCACGATGACAGTGGGTTTCTGGTGTTCGCCCACAATCAGGAAACCCTCAGTTCCAATAGGTTGGTCATTTACCCAATGACAAGTCCACTCGCCGTCATGCGGTATATCTGGTAGTCGTAGGGATGCTGTTGGTTATGAAAATCAAAAATAAAATGTAAGTTTGAAGCAAAATTAACTTGTTTCCTGCAGTGCTCATACCTATATCCAAACTGGCCATGTCCAGCAACGGCCAATCCCTGCGCTGTGGTGTAGTTTTGCTCTTCTTGCTGCTCGAGGAGCCACTGGTACCGCTCACGCTGCCCGTGCTTGCCCTCTTCGGAACCACAGAGCTCACTGGAGTTCCAACGGGAGTGGGTGGCTTTGAGCCAACCTCATCCGCTGCCTGAACAGGGGGCAACTGCTTAGGCATCTTGTTCATGTGCACGGCGCGTACGTTCTTAACGTAACCATCATCGAAGAGCACCTCGTAGGTATCGTTGCCCAGCAGCTTGCGTATGGTTCCTGGAAACTTACGCGGCCCCGACCAGCGGGCCATGCACTTCTCCTCCAGCTCAAAGACGGGCAGCACCCGGGTGCTAAGGCGCTGCCTCAGTCGTTCGGACTTGATGGCCATCCACTCCTGAAAGCTGCCGCTTGTCGAAGGCGACACCTTCAGCTTGTGATTGCGCTCAAAGCGCACGAGTAGAGTCTGCTCCGTCTCGTTTACTTCCACGATGCGGGCGGGCAACCAGTTTCCCTCCACACTGAGCGCCTCCAAACGGGCGCCGATAGTCAGGTTATGTGGATTGCTGTACTTGGGTGGTGAGCCCGGCAGAGGGGAGTTAGAATTTGAGGCGGATCCAGCAGCTGAGATTGTTGCCTCGCTGCTTGAGGGTACCGGAGTCACGGGAGTTTCCTTTGCAGCTGCCTTGTTTGCATCCACGTCGGTCTCGGGGGTGGTTTTCACCTCATCCGCTGGCTTGTCTGTTTTGGCTTCCTCTGTGGCCTTGCGTTCTGCCGTTTCCGACAGGATTTGGGCCACTATTTGGTCCACCGTAGCCTTGATCACATCGTCATTGGTCGATGACTGAGAATTTCCCTGGGTGCCAGTCGTTCCCTCCACGCTAGCGTGCTGGAGTGCCCGGTGGTCTGCCTCGATCTCTACGGAATCCATCTTGCCCCACGGAAAAACGGTGGGAAAGACGCGAGGCTTGAGCAGGTACTTCCCATTGCGGATCGTGTTGAAGTCCAGGCGGCGGAAGTGGCGTGAGCAGACCAGGACGCTCTTGGTGATCTGGCGCTCCAGGCTGATGCGCGAGTTCTTGATCCAAATGGCCCGGATGATGGGATCCAGGGGGAAGGAGTGGTAGGTCACGCCGTGGTGCTCCATCAGACGCGACGTCGACGGGCAGTTGGCCACGCAGCAGCGACGGCCCATGGCGATGCTGTCTTCGGTTCCTTATTTAAACCTACTCAAATCTATATCTTTATTGGCTAATTGCAAACGCACACTGTGCTAAATGATGAAATAATTCCAAACTCGACGCGAAAATTATCCAGAAAAACAGCGCAGTACAATAGTGTGACCAGATCGGGGTACAGCAAAAACGTCTAGGCCGCTGACTATCGATACCGATATATTCCACTTGGAATGTCGATTGAACTGGCAATGTTGGGTGTTGCCACCTTGTTGGAAAAATGTTACGTTATTGATAAGCTTAAAAATATGAATATCTTGATATAAATATATTCCATTGACATTTCAATTGTAAAAAGCTACATTTTCAATAAATTTGACCTTCGAGATTAGTTTTGATTATAAGTGATTGGAAATATTCAAGCCTGATAAGAACCTAGATATTATTTCTGACTATTTCCCCTTTCAATCGACTCCTCCAAAAAGTTCACTATTAAAGTTGGTACATATGAGCTGCACAACTAAAATTAATCGGTGCGTTAATGCATTTTAGCGAAGTGAGGGTGCCATAAATTTCCTTAGCTCGGCGGGAAAAGGATCACGTGCCGGTTAGCCACCGTTCCCAAGGCCACCGAAAGCCTATTTGAAATGCAATTAATGTACACCTTTGGGCTTACATGTCACCACGTTCGCCAAAAGGCAGACACCTTGCAAAAAGCTAACCAAATACGATATCATCCATTCGAAAATGCTTCTGGAACTACGTATTTCAACACTTGGTTTCAAAGTTTGAGGAGCAGCACTTTATGCGTGCTGCTGAAACAAGCACTTATTGTAGTTTTTAATTACAATATTTCTCCCGGTCATTAGCATGCAAGAAACAACTGACAATGTTGACTGTGGCGCCGGCTGCCTAATCGGTCGATTGAGCCTCCAAAAAAATCGGTTGAAGTATGGAGCCTTGGCCTTCAAATCAAAATATGTGAGGAAAATTTTATTGCACATTTTAAACTATTTCTTAATAGTCTCTAGGCTGTGCCAATATTTTATATATTTAACTTGGCTCCTTGAATTCCTCAAAAACTGTTTTCTTGCCGTACAAAAATTGTTCAAGAATGCTGGCATATGCGACATATATTTTGACTGATACCCGGAAACTCATAGTCGAAGCACTTCCTGTTTTGTGTACTTCCCTGAAAACGAGGTCTCTGGGTCAATCTGTTCACTTAGATCTTGGGGGTGTTTGCGAAACTTACACGGAGCCAATATCAAATGGTGTTGACTTTGATTCAGTGGCTTGCCAATATTTAAAATCAACTCACGGTTGGAGCATAAAGCAAACTAAAATTATAAAATGCTTTTATTGTCATATGCAGCTGACATAAATATTAAATAACGTGAATTAATTGACGTTGCTAAGCCGAATAATTTAGCTTTTTTTATTAATTTTGGGCAGTCCAAAACTGACATTGAGAGGGGCACTCGAAGGGAAATCCAAATAGGTAAACACGATTAGATTTCCGTTTGCATAACTATTAGTGAAGATATTTGCATTAATTATCGACACTCGATGAAATTGGGACGACTGCACCTGAACTCACTCTCTTTTTGTGCAAATATTTCAACAATATGTAACCTGTGCAAAAATATTTTCAAAAACAGAAACACAACGCGAGTACCAAACTTTGGGCTTTGGGACCAACTGATGGCGGCACTTTCTCCTTCAATATTTACCCAACTCATCGACAAATTGGCCAGGCCCATTCCCCAGTCTCATCTCGGTCCCAGTACCAGAGCTCATAAGTCAGCCCCCTTCCCGATCCCCATTCCGATCCCCTCTGGGAACTCATTGCGTAAATATGTGGGCATGCAATGCGGTAATAGGCTGCGCGTCTCTTGACATTTGGGTCCAGTTCCCGGTTCCTTATCACATGCATATTGCCCTAAAAATGATCGTTAACTGGTGATGATCATTTTTGCCGAGAGAGTGCCCACGGGAATTCATGTAATGCCGAGTAGTTCATTCAAATTAAATAAATTATGCTTGCCCAAAACATGGCTTGAGCAAATTCGAGTTGACCATGTACATGGGTTGCCTAATTTATTATAATTTTTATTGGTCTTTGTCACTCAGCATTGCAGCCACGCAGCGCACTTGAAATTTGAAATTTAATATCTGGAATTTTTCAGTGCTGTAGCAACTGGGATTTTCCCAGACTCGGTGTAAATGTAACAGTTAAAATTGTATCTTATTGTAAAATATAGAAATAGTTTTGCTTTACACCCACTTCTGTGGGATAGTTTAATGATGGCTTTACCCGCATTTCATTTCTCTAAAAACATTTTGCAAAATATTATTGAAATTTCTGAGAAATGGGCGCGGCATGGCTTAGCTTCCAGCACAAACCGCCCAAAATGTCCCACGAGATACATGTGTCAGGTAATGAGCGGCACCTGCCTTCGTGTAACTTTTGCCGTTTTACCGATTGCCATAATGTGCGATTTAACAGATACCTTTATTTTTCAAAACCGCCTTTTTGGGTTTCGGTTTTGTTGGGTCGACATGCTCAGCTGCACGTGAGTTGGAGATGTAAAAATAAAGAAAATAACCCGCGGAGGAGACAAAACTTATCGGGGCGATCATGTTGAAATGCGTGAATTGAGTATGGGTATAGGTTTGAGTTTGGGTTGTCGGGCTTGTGGGCTTGCGGGCTTACTCTTCACTTTCAACTGGTGAAATTTTCGTACTCATCGGGGCTGACCTTGATCTGGGTCCCAAGCTGTGGAGAAAATAATGCAGATGGGGGACTCGCATCATTTCTTATGCTTATGCAACGACAAGTGTGTTTTGGGTATATCTTCTGGCTATTTATGGGCGACATTATGTAATGTTTCGCGGCTCATGTAAAATCGTAAGTTCCCTAATCTGTTATATAGACACAAAAGTGCTGCTTATTTAATATAGCCATAGAACATATTTATTTAAAGGTGACCGATTTCAATCGACATAAATTGTTGGTCAACACATCGGCTTAGATTATGCAATATGCAAAACGACAAAGCACTGGCAAATACATACATACTCGTATTTCTGAAACAAAGCAAACAATAGCGTAAAATGCATTTATTTATGCAAAGAGACAGGAGACGCACCACAAAAAAAAGTTCGAAATTTTCGTGCCAAAAACGATTTTGGCTCAAGTGGTGTCGTGTTTGTGTAGCTAATTAGATGGGAGTTAGGCCAATCCATTCAACGGCCATTCAAAGCGAAGTGGTGCAAAATGATGCGCAAGCCAAAGAAACGCCACCCATCACCCACCAATCGCCCCTTTTTTGCACCACTTTGGCCACTTAACATTCATGGTTGCTGGTTAAGCAGGCGCCGAAGATTAGTCCATTTTCCCCGTGCTCCCATTTATAAATAGGTCCAGATTCCTCCTAAAATATGTACATAAGTGCCAATATATACTTGTCTTACATTTAAGTAGTATGTTTCTGGACTAACCATTTTTCAATCTGTTCAAATCCCTGAAAGGAATTTTCTAAAATGAATCAATCTCTGAATGCATTGCCTCTGTAGCACAGGGTATTCACATTTCGGCTTGCAAGCAGTCAGCTCTATTGATCGTTTCAATGTTTCTCAATATTGGCACCAGAAAAATCCTGAAAATAGAGAATTCCATTTACATGAAATATTTACATGAAAATAGAAATGTTTTTACCAGTAAGACTCAATGGAATAAACCTTTTTCGAGTGTAGTACTGCCACCAAACCAAAAAACCCAACACTCGTTCTCTCTTGGGGTATGGCGCTCTCATCGAATTGAGTGGACCGATGCGACTCTCGGTTCGTATATAAGGCGGGGTTCCCCAATGCTTTTGACATTCCAGTTGATCAGTGCCAGCCGATCGGTCGGTAGAAAGAAGTGCGTCGCGAGCCAAAAAAAGGAAAATCGAACCCGCAGAAAGTGCCAGTGAATAGACTGATAAACGAACCAAAATGAAAGCTTTCATTATCGCCGGAGTGTGCGTGTTGAGCGTGCTGAGCCTGGGATCCGCTCAGTTCCAGAACGGACGTCTGGAGCCGCCAAATCCGCAGCTCTGTGCCCAGCGCGTCATTCACGAGAGGACTCCCGACGGCAAGGGGTGAGTCGGCAGGATATGCGCCCCAAGCATAAGCTATAAGGTTTGCTTCTCTCCCCCAGCTACTTCTTCTCGTGGCGTGACCCTCAGCTGAAGGGCGTGGAGGAGGATTGGCTGACCGCCAGGAACTACTGCCGCAGGCGCTGCATGGACTCCGTTTCTCTGGAGACCAGCTTGGAGAACGAGTGGATCAAGCAGAATGTGGTGCGCGAGAATGTAAGTACAAATTCCTGAGAAGATGAAAATTAATAAGAGAAATAGTATTTTGTTTAAGCTTCTTAAATAACCGAAATTACCTCTGTTGAAGAGTTAAAAGTTAAGCAAGTGAAGGTCATAGGGCCTAAGCACTTATTATAGGATCCTTTCCACAGAAATCGAAAGACTTAAGCAACGAACTTAAGTCTAGGTGTTGTCATAAGTATCCAAAAAATGCGCAGTCTGAGGCAAATGTAATCTTACATCTCAACTTTCGTAAATATTAATTCCATAAATTGATTGTCCCACCGCAAAAAGAAACCTTGCATAAGTCCCACTTGTGTTTTTCAAACCATGTCCAAGCTAATAAATTGATCTCAACTTCATGGCACCTGTTTGTTAAACATTTACGCATTAATAGATCAAACAAATGACCGAAAATGCTATTAAAATATGCAACTCATTCACTATTTATAAGTTTTTTTTCGGAGAAAGGCTATTATAAATGCAAAATCAAACACTATTAAATAGACCGCAGCAAGGTGGACTTTTACACCTTCAAGTCAAAAAAGCTTGTCAATAATTTATTGTACCTGCATCTATCAGTTGTTATTTCCGTCGTTTTTCACCTGTTTTGCATGACATTATGTCACCTTTCCTAATTTGTTTGGTAAGTTAAATAACGCCCGTTTAGCCGCGTGTGAACTGTTTAGCGCGTTTTATTTGGCAGCTCGGACAAGACACAACAAAATGCTGACCTTAATTTTGAGGATGCTGGGGCACACAGTAAAAATAATTGCGAAACCTCTGACATTAACATCGCTCCACAAAGTTCAATGTGAAATTGCACATAAAAACTGAACGGAAAGGTAAAATACGCATCATAAATACAGAAAAACTTTCCCAGTTGTTGCCTCTGTAATTTTGCACACGAATGGAATCGTCTGCTATTATGCAACGCTCTTCAGATGAACAAGTGTCAAGTTTGGAGTTGTGGTCAGCCAGGCTCATCTCATCTCATCTGCCATCTTCCGACTCATTGCCCACCTCCCATCTCCGCTTTTGAGGCATGAGAAAGCACTGGTGGTCGAATTGAAATCGAAAGTACATGTGTGCGATGGGAAAGCCTGGCCGGAAAAGATACTCAACAAAATTACTTGGCAAATTAGCAAACTGCGAACACGCAACCGAATTCATTTGTAGTATATTTTGCGTATAGTACAGGAGGAAATCAAATACAAGCCAATGCAAAAAGTTGAAGATGGAAAGTAGCTCATGCATACATTTTATTTCAATTTATAATTATAATTTATGCATTTTTATAATCACCGAATATGGGATACAAAATGTAAGAGTTTGGACATATATCAACCAACATATAATGTGTTTTTAAGACGTCTAATAGAAACGCAATACTTTCCATTGAAATTTTCCGCTTCCTGCAAAGTTGCATCGCCCACTGACTTCTCTGCAAACTTTTGTGTAAACTTTTAGTGGGACAGGTGTACAAACATCACTCTTTTAGGCTTCCGCAACGGGGAAACTGCATTCATTGTCTGAGTTTTAAACAATTGCAAAGCAATTTGGACCCCTTAAATGAAACGCTAAAACCGCCACCGACAAAACCGAAATCAATGTCCATAAATCTGTTTCAGCTTTACGCTCATTGGAGTTTTCCAAAAGGGCAGACATCCAAACTGAGTCGTCTGGCTCTTTTTTTTTGTTTTTTTTTTTTTTGTATTGCCCTCTTAACAATACAATTTTTATGGCCCATCAGGTGAAAGTGACTGATGATCGCTTAACTGCGGCTGCGCAGCGGCTTTTGCTTTTGCTTCTGCTCACTTGAAATGTTGACAGTATCGGGTGCGCCCGCTCCAAAAGGGCGCGGACTCGGACTCGGAATGGAAACGGGAATGGGTGTATGGGTTCGCTTTCAGCGATAATAATGGTTGTTTGGGCGTGACAGGCCCAAAAGAGTTACTAACTGGAATTTCTACCACTTTTTTCGTCGATGCCAGCGCCGCATTTTCTTGCGTAGGTGCGATTGATAGGGGAAATCTATTTCTATTTCAGTATCTGTCAGGGCCAATGAACTATGGGTATATTTGAATAATTAAGCTTGCCACATGTTGCAGCTTGCGGATCTCATTTATCCCAAGTATATTAATGACAACTCTTCTCTGGCGTTGCAGGTGAAATACATCTGGACTAGCGGCCGCTTGTGCGACTTCAAGGGCTGTGACCGCCCCGATCTGCAGCCCACGAACATCAACGGATGGTTCTGGACCGCCACCCTGCAGAAACTGGCCCCGACCACTGAGAGGAACCAGGGCGATTGGTCGCCCACCGGCGGAATTGGCCTGCCCCAGCCGGACAACCGCGAGTTCAAGCAGAATGGAGCGCCGGAAAACTGCCTGGCCCTGCTGAACCAGTTCTACAACGATGGCGTGAACTGGCACGATGTGGCCTGCCACCACAAGAAGAGCTTCGTCTGCGAGGAGAACGATGCCCTGCTGAAGTATGTGCGCTACACGAACCCCAATCTGCGCATCTAAGAGGACTAGGATCCGGATCCGAATGCGGGCTGGCGGTAGAACCAGCGACTCTCCAAGTAAAACCAAAAATGATATTCCCCAAATCGGCAGTGGGATACATACATATCTACTCTCCGATTGTCTTTGAATGCAAAGTTTTCTGGCCAAATTGCTGCATGATATACTTATGATCCCTTTCCCGGTAACAACCTTCCGATTCTCTGCGCTCTGTTCTGTCTCATCAACTAGTTTAATTCTTAATTTTGTATTAATTTATGATTTTCTTTAATTATAATAAAAGATTCGAAATGATTTTGTTAAGTGGACAATGGCTTTATTTATGTTTTATGTTTTATTTATATTCTGTTGATATTTAATCAATCATTGGATTATAAATTCATGTATATTGTTTTCTCTTATACTTGCAAGTACTTATAGATTAAATAGGTGCTGGACATTACACTAAAAAAACGATTTGGAGAAAACTTGTTGTACGTTTTACATTTTACATGTAAAATAAAATACGGGTGTTCATAAAACTAAAGATTTTTATTTATTTTATTTAGAACATTACTTCTTGATTCTTGATTCATACATTAAAAACAAGGTTCATTAGGTTCACGGAATTTAAAAAAAATCCTGTTTGTATGCAACTAAGTATAGCCTTTCGAACTCCAAATTCGAACGCCAAGAAGTATGCTATGATTTTGATCGTAGACACTGAACCTTAGCATCTCATACGTTTTATAGATTACGATCAATAAATTAGCAGTGAAAATTAGCACATGCGCATAATTTGGATGAGTGACCGATGGAAACGAATGATTGAAATGAAAATTAAACCCCTTTCTGGGCAACATTAGAACATCTGGGATAGTTTCACCAGATCCAAGAGGGAATAGAATGGCTTCTGTTTGGTCTCCCGCTCGTGACTCTTAACCGGAAGGTCCTGAAGTAAATTTAGTTCCCTGTTCTCTCGACATTTGTCCAGCACACGTTCAAACTCTGTCAGTGCGAAGTCTTGAGCGGAAGTTCCTCTCTTCGGATCGATAGTCTCCATTAGGGTCTCCCACTGCGCCCGCTGCGGTTGGATGGCTATCCCTTCCCCCTTATCGGCTGCATTAATGGTGGCCACTGCTGCACCTGCTCCTTCAATCATGGCCAGAACCAGGCAGCCCACCAGAGCACTGTTGGCCATGGCCCGAATGCCATTACGGGCTGCCAATATCCCACCAGTGGCCGCTCCACTGAGTATCGAGTTCCAGGCGTCCTCCCTCTGCCGATAGTGGACCAGGACACAATCCACTGTGCTGAACGTGGCTCCCCAAACGGCAAAGCTGCCGGCAATGGAGGGCGTCCTCATCTTCACCGAATCAATTCCACCGTAAAGGCTACGCTGCAATCCGGACGGAGCGTTACGGAAACCCTTGAGGAACTCGAACAGCGATCCTCCGATGGTGCCCATCATGAAGGCACATCCGCAATCCTCGACAATCCTAATGGGACACGGCTGGCGATTGTACTCCATGATCCAAACTCTAGAGTATACTAATATTCTTCGAGTGGCTTCAAATCAAAAACTTGTGTTTTGGAAATAGACTTTTGAGTATACATAACACGAAGTGTTTGTGCTGGTGACGTTTGCGTCCTTTCTAGATTTTTAAAATATGTTCTCTAATTTGCATTTAAAACAACGGAAAACGCTATAAATATTTAGTATAGCCTAACCCAGTTTACATAAATTTACAAATTACTTTAAAATCCTTCAAAAAGGTGTGTTATCTTTAAGTGAATATTTAAAAAAATATTTTAATAAGTGCTTTATCAGTATTTATCAGTAACGCAACGTGCCAAGACTTACATAAATATTCAGTTATCAAAGTATTTGCGGAACTCCTGGCAACCAGCCCAGTTGTCTTCCCAACCGGGTGTCAGTTTCTTGGCCTGTTCGTACCAACGTACCACATTGGCGTACCGCTTGAAATCAAAACCAGCCACATCAAAAGTAGAAACACTGGACAGAAAGGAAATATCAGCCAAGCTATAATCCTCTCCGGCGCCGTAGGTCTGTCCCTCCAGGAAAGTGTTTAGGAATCCAAAGGCCACCTCGATCTTCTTGTAGTTCTCCTCATTGGCGGGCTTCTTTAGGAAGATCTGCGGATAATAGTACTCGGAGAAGCTCTTGTACAGCGTGCCCATATCGAAGTACAAGCGCTGGTTGATCAAAGCCTGCTTTTGCGGATCCTTGGGGAAGAGCTTGTCGTCCTTGCCGTACTTCTCCACCAGATAAACCATAATTGCCCGCGACTCCCACAGAGCAAATCCATTGTCATGCAGCGTGGGGACCGTGTGCTGCGGATTGATCTTCAGGAACTCCGGCTTGAATTGCTCCCCGGCTCGGGTGTTGATGATGATCTTCTTATCGAACTCCACACCCAGTGCCTTGGCTGTCATCAGAACAGAGCGGCAGGAAGCAGATCCGGGTCTGTAGTAGAAATCCATCTCTGCAAAAATAAGGCAATTCATCAAGATCAAATGGTCTCACAGTTGATGAATATAACAGCAAACAGCTAATCACTTTCTCGTTGATGGCACTCACTGAACCTGTTAACGCAATCTCTATAATAAATTCATCAAAAAATAATAAAAGTGTACCTACGTGGTAATTAAATACACCCGGGTGTTCTGATGAAGTCGAAGCGCGGCAAGCAACTGAAAAAAGCTTTTCGGCTTAGCTGTGTTTTATACGCACAAAGAAACAGAAGACAACCGCATTTCTGTATGTACTTGTTTAATGTGGTAGATCCATTAGGTACAGGATTGACCACACTTTTTGATAGTGCGAAAATGAATATTGATGCGAAATACGGCACAGGAGAAAAATTTCTGGAAAAGTAGTATATATGTATATCCCTCAGCATATACAGAAAAATTGTCACCGCACTCAGTGCCCTAAACAAGTCTCTTAAGAAAAACCCTTCCTGACATCGATATCGAGACGAAAACGATCTCAATGTCGATAATTTCAGGCGAAAGCAGTCTGGGTTTTTAGTTTTTAGCAGAGGGTCGTGAGGGGAAGGCGGAAAAAATGGGAGAGAAAAAGGAGAGCAAAATCCTCTCTGGAACTTATCGGGGATCTTATCGATTTAAATTTCGTCTCCTTTCGATAGAATTATTATTTTGTGGCGCCCTTTTAGATTTTTAAAATGTTTTGATCTTAAATTCGTATTTCAAGCTACGGATATCGCTGAATAGCTATTAAATTCCAACCCAGCTTTAGTAAATTAAAAAATTACTTTAAAAATATTCCAAAATGTGTGTTAGTCTCTAAATAAATTGTTTTTTTTTAACCCACTTTAATAAATGCTTTATCAGTATTTCAGGTTTAGCAGCAGGCAACGCAAGGTGCCACACTTATATATTCAGTTATCGAAGTATTTTCGGAACTCCAGGCAACCAGCCCAGTTTTCTTCCCAACCGGGTGTCAGTTTCTTGGCCTGTTCGTACCACCGTGCCACATTGGCATACCGCTTGAAATCGAAGCCAGCCACATCAAAAGTGGAAACGCTGGCCAGGAAGGCAATATCCGCTAAGCTATAATCCTCTCCGGCGCTATAGGTCTGCCCCTCCAGGAAAGTGTTTAGGAACTCGAAGGCCACCTCGATCTTCTTGTAGTTCTCCTCATTGGCGGGCTTCTTTAGGAAGATCTGCGGATAATAGTACTCGGAGAAGCTCTTGTACAGCGTGCCCATATCGAAGTACAAGCGCTGGTTGATCAAAGCCTGCTTTTGCGGATCCTTGGGGAAGAGCTTGTCGTCCTTGCCGTACTTCTCCACCAGATAAACCATAATTGCCCGCGACTCCCACAGAGCAAATCCATTGTCATGCAGCGTGGGGATCGTGTGCTGCGGATTGATCTTCAGATACTCCGGATTGAATTGCTCCCCAGCTCGGGTGTTAATAGTGGTTTTCTTATCGAACTCCACGCCCAACGCCTTAGCTGTCATCAGAACAGAGCGGCAGGGAGCAGATCCGAGTCTGTAGTATAAATCCATTTTACGCTTGCTGGGATCTCTGCAAAAATAAGGCAATTCATCGAGATTAAATGGTGTCACAATTGATAAATATAAAAACGAACTGCTTGCTAATCACTTTCTCGTTGATGGCACTCAATGAACCTGGGGTTACGCAATCTCTATAATAAATTCCCCAAAAATAAAAGTATACCTACGTGGTAATCAACTACACTTGGTTGTTCTGTTGGAGTCGAAGCACGACAAACAACTGAAGAATGCTCTGTAGTTTAGCCGTCTTTTATAAACCCATGCTTATAACAACAACCAACAATCGGAAGATAACCCCGAATACTCGTAGAATGTTTCGTGGACTGATAGATCAATTAGGCACAGGTGATAATTGACCATGCTTTTTGGCCACGATACGAAATACTGGACGTAAGAGAAACTTCTGGAAGAGCAGAGCTCCAGCAGTATAAGGCCAACAGCTAATAGGAATTTCATTTCTGCTGGTTTCCCGATAAACTAAACTTTACGTAAAGCATAAATTAGTACAGGTGTTTGCCAAAAATTACCTTTGACTTTAATTACTTTCGCTATCAGCAAAATCACGGCAGCTGGCTTTTCAGCAAACCAACACGGAACATTATCTTATCGGTAGCAGAATGTTTGAGGTGTCGTGTCCAAGCAAATTTTACAAGAGCAGAGGATCCATGTCCTTATCGCAATCCAAAGCCAACAACTCTTCGGCCATCATACTCTTAGTCATTTCAGAATGCCTCACTCTTTATTCGAACAGTCCGATACAGATTAGATTACTTATTACAGCCCAGTCATTGTTTGTTCAATATCGCACCCAGATACAATTTCTTGTAGTACTCGCAGCCCTCCCAGTTCTCCTCCCAGCCGGGTATCACTTTCTTGGCATTCTCGTACCACCTGACCACTTCCGGATATTTACGAAAATCATATTCCGATATTTCAAACGTGGAAACGGTGGTCAGGAGGGCAAAATCGGCCAGAGTTAACTTGTTGAGGGCGGCGTACTGCTGGCCCTTCAGCAGAGTATTGAACATATCGAAGGCAGCATCGATCCTCTTGACGTTCTCGGGATCAGCCGGCTTCTTCACATCCTCAAACAACTGGGGATAGTAGTAGTACACGTAGCTCTGATACAGAGTGCTCAGATCGAAGAACAGGCGCTGGTTGATGACGGCCCTCTGCTGGGGATCTTTGGGATACAGGGAGCCATCCTTGTCGTACTTCTCGCCCAGATAAATCAGTATAGCCCTCGACTCCCAGAGCGCGAACCCGTCGTCGACGAGCGTGGGAATCGTATGCTGAGGATTGATCCTCACAAACTCCGGCTTCAGATGCTCACCGGCATCCAGATCGACCTGCTTCTTGTTCAGCTCCAGTCCCAGGGCACGGGCAGTCATCAGGATGGAACGGCAAGGTGCCGAGTAGAGCATGTAGTAGAAGTCCAGCATGATTATTCGCTGAGCTAAAATCGTACTGAATTAGTTTACGGAACATTGTTGTTCCCTTTAACGGTTACTAGATTGTTTAGACTAGAAAGTATTTCATTCGTATGAAAGTGTACCCTGTTTGTAAAGATTGTTTGTATTATTGCAACACATTGCATTGGATTTTTTCTTAGAAGAGGTCTACCGCGAAATATCACCGCATTATGTGTATGTTGCAGATCGTATTTTGTTTTCAGTAATAAAGTCTGTTATTAACATTATTATGAACACTTCCCTCGTTGAAAAGCTTTTTTGAGAACAGAAAATTACAACTGCGTTTCTTAGAAAAATTTCAGAGCCACAAACATAGTGCACTTTAAGTTCCTAATCTATGTTCCTTACTGATTTTCAAGATTATTTATTTGAGGCCTCTGGCTGTGTCTCTTCACGAAATCAAACTGACAAAGCGAAACAAATCCAGCCCTATATTCTTTCTTTTACATTCATTTTTTGCTTGTCTCTTGATTCGGAGAGATTCGTTTTAGCAAACTCTTTACAAATCACCCCTTGCATCGAAAGAGAGAATAACGAGCCCACTTATTCAATTGTCCCCATCCACAATATCCACAATCCACATACACATAGCAAAGTAAATGAACACTCATCTAAAAAACACATTTGTATTTGGTGCATTCAAAAAAACGAACACATATTTATTGTCTTTGCAGACAGACGAATTTGGAATTGTTGCTTGTGAACGTGAATATAAATACTACATCATATGTACGGGTATTAAAACGTGAATATCAGGCTTATTCGAAGTACTTCTTGAACTCCAGGCATCCGGCCCAGTTCTCCTCCCATCCGGGAGTCACCTTCTTGGCGTTCTCGTACCATCTGTTCACATTGGCGTACTTGCTGATCTCGAATCCGGCCACCTCGAAGGTGGAGACGGAGGCCACCAGGGCAATGTCGGCCACGGTGAGGGAGTCACCAGCGGCGTACTCCTGTCCCTCCAGGAAGGTGTTCAGGAACTCGAAGGCGGCCTCGATCTTCTTGAAGGCCTCGGGATCGGCGGGCGCCTTGGCGAACACCTGCGGGTAGTAGTAGTTGGCGAAGCTCTGGTACAGCGTTCCCATGTCGAAGTACAGGCGCTGGTTGATCACGGCGCGCTTCTTGGGGCACTTGGGGTACAGGGAGTCGGTCTTGCCGTACTTCTCCACCAGGTACACCTGGATGGCTCGGGACTCCCACAGCGCGAATCCGTTGTCCACCAGCGTGGGAACGGTGTGCTGGGGATTGATCTTCACGAACTCCGGCTTCAGCTGGTCACCGGCCTGCAGGTTGAGCAGCTTCTTGTTCAGCTCCACGCCCACGGCCTTGGCGGTCATGATCACGGAGCGGCAGGGGGAGGAGCCGGGCAGGTAATAGAAGTCAGCCATTTTACTGGAGGAGGAAAAGTTGCAAAACTGGCGGTTAGTTACATGCTCACAATTTGTACCCAACTTATTGAGAAACATTTATAAAGATATGTTATTATCTCATCGGATTTATACCCTACGGTTATTTTAAAGCTTAAAGCATTCATTTGCATTTCTGAATTGGATTTTAATCGAAAGAATAAAGTGGAAAAGAAACTTTGAACAATTGTGAGTCCGCCATATTGGATTGGAGTGAACAAATCTCCGACTTCTTTTCACATTTAGATATGAGCACCAAACTTTTTCAAGCATATCCACAAGCGTCGCATTCATATTTAAATCAACATTCTCTCTCGCTTTAAGACCCCAATTGTTTCTTTATTATTCACATTATCCATGTAGCGTGCAAAAGTCTAGATGCTTGAAAGATATGCCACAATTAGACGCGCTCTATAATTACGAGTTCAGACAAAATGGGACTTTAATTGGGCCGTCATTACAGAAGTTCACTTGGCTATGATGTCATATCTGGGCTATAATTCGTTCAACTTGTTGGTTATTTTCCATACGACTTCCTTGCGGTCAATATTCCTTTTATTTTAGCCCAAACACAGGCACACAATCACAGTTCACATTATATATACATATATACTTGGCTATAGACTTACAGTTTGATTTCTGTTGAGAATCTCGCGATGCACACTGTACCAAATGAGAAGTAGCACTGAACGAAATTCGAAGAGCGGGTCCAGTTTTATAGAGGTCGGTTGCCGGCAAACAAGAGTTGCTGTTCGAAGCGAACAAGAGGGAGAGGGAGAGGGAGAGGGAGAGGGAGAGAGTGCGAAAGAGAGAGGTAGCAGCTAGTTGATTTCGTGCTTGGGTTTTTGTCTTTTATTTTTTTCTGACTTGCCTACACATACCCACTAATGGCGGGCAAAAATGTGACGTTAGCAGCGTGATTAATACACCGTTGTGTGGCCATGGGTGTGGGGAGCCGTATGTCATTGTGTGTGTGTGCTTTCGAGGAGGTTGCACACCACCCGTTCCCCCACCCACTACCCCCACCTTGCCCTCAAAAGACAGCTGCAACTTTCTAATGATCCTCCATTGGAACGACGCCTAAGAACACAATTTAGTTGTACTTTTTTAATAAATTTTGCAAAAAGTATTTCAATATGTCTTTATCAAACGAACAACAATGATGATACAATCGTGCAACATAGGTGTTTTGCAATTTAAATATCCTAGGGTATTTACACTTCGACTTGCTAAAGCTGACACACCCATTTGGTGCACTCAATTTGCTTTGAAACACATTTTTGCATTTCTTATGAACATCTGTGCGCCTGAAAATAAATTCTCTCTCTAAAATGCAAAAAGTAAGCAAATAAATAATAAGTAAATAAACAGGCAAACAGAAAGCAGATAACAATTCAAGCCGGCCGGCAAACATTGATATCAGGCATTGTATGTATGTACAATGTATGTGCAACAGTTGAGTACTCCCAACTGATATGTGCATACAAAGAAATCGCGATAGAATCATACAGTAATAATAAGACTCATAAGACCACAAAAATCATACAATATATGTACGCTGGCTCGTTTTAATAATATTAATGGGTAAAACCTGGTTCTGATAGATAGTAGTGGGCACTGAGTAAATTATCAGTCCAAGAAACATGCAAATTCGTAATTACTGGTATATTTTCAATGTAATTATCTTGATGGGCTTAGTCCATATATCGATCGAATTTCGTTACTTGTGTTTGGACGGCCTTGGGTAGTGAGAAATAATGGTTGTGACCATATTCATGAGTTGGAATACTAGACTTTCATTTCTTGGAAGTATTCGATACCATGGAAGCCGAGCACTCGAACATTCCTGCCACAATTCGCTGGGGGTGTGTATTTTCACCCAAAAAAAAAACAAATCAATTATATTTTATCAGTTTTGCAATTCGCAATATCAACTATCAGCATGACCGGGCGAAAAAATTCAATAACAAGTAGGAAAAAATGAAAGAGCATTTTCGTGGGCGACACGTCAAACAAATTGCGCTCTTAACGTCGAGAACAATCCACGAAACTCTTGTGAAATAAGAAATCCCCAAGACCCAAAACCCCAAGTTCCTAAACTCCAAGAGTTACTCATTTAACTCATTTAATCCATCTGAATCATGGGAAACACGAGTTCGTAAACATAATAGGTTCGCCAATAACTGGTTGGGTTAATTCACAAAAAAGCCGGCCCAAAAGGTAGCGTAAAATGTAGAGAAAGGTCGCTGTGTTTGCCACTGCAGATCAAGAGAACCAGTTGGACGGCATTGGCCAAGTGTGCGTCACAGGGCAACAAAAAATGAAGTGAGAAATCCGAACTATTCGAAGAGCAAAGCCAAAGAGATGCGCTCTCCCAAGAGTATGACCGATCTCTTTTCCGCACATCATCGCGTTCTTCTGCCGGTCTCCCATATAAACACATATAGTCCGATATATATATACTTTCTCGATTCCGTTTACCGACTACTCGCGTTTTGTGTACAGCTGCGTTGATTTCACTGATCTCCGCTCTGGAATACATATTATATGATAAAGCTGAACACCTGCAATTTCAGTCTGTTCTAACAAATTATTTTTATTTCCAGCTTTTTAAGTTCCATTCGTAAGTCTGGCTTTATTTAGTAAATAACTTAAACACATTCCTATTCATTCGAGCATTAGTGTCTCCGCGCTTTCATTATTCTTTATCTTTTAAATTAATGACATAGATAACGCAAAGTAACTGATGAGTTGATTTATACCTACATATATAGGTGCAATAAATTGAAAAACGGAGTTATTCAATGCTCCCTATTTCTGATTATTTTGCTAGCAACACCATGAATTTCAACACTATTTAATCAGCTTCAAATGGGTCTTCTATCTCCCTGTACTACTCACACTTTGTTTTTCTAAATCACTCCATTTCCCTTACGATAACCATCTAATTATACAAACTAGTGCCAGCTCGAGCAGAAGATTATAAATTATGCACCTGAAATTATTATTAGCACTTCCTTGGCATTATTATTATTATTATTAGTCATTGTGGGAACATACATACCTCGGAACCGAAGAGACCAAGATTGAAAAAGTTTATTCTAACCATGACTGGCATTTATTTCAAACGCCAGCCAAACACAAATCCACGCAAGCATAAACAAATGGGTGGAGATAAAATTTACGCTATAAAAGAAATGAGGTTTACTGGGAATTGTTAGTCGTAGTTCTCCACTGTGCAGGTTAACAACAAGTTAGAATACTCCAAACATGGACTTTTACTACATGCCAGGCAGCGGAGGATGCCGCACGGTCGTCATGGTGGCCAAGGCCCTTGGTCTGGAGCTGAACAAGAAGCTACTGAACACCATGGAGGGTGAGCAGTTGAAGCCGGAGTTCGTGAAGCTCAATCCCCAGCACACCATTCCCACGCTGGTGGACAATGGATTCTCCATCTGGGAGTCCCGTGCCATCGCCGTTTATCTGGTGGAGAAGTACGGCAAGGACGACTATCTGTTGCCCAAGGATCCCCAGAAGCGTGCCGTGATCAACCAGCGTCTGTACTTCGACATGGGAACTCTGTACGACAGCTTTGCCAAGTACTACTATCCCCTCTTCCGCACTGGAAAGCCCGGAACTGATGAGGACTTGAAGAAAATCGAAACCGCCTTTGGATTCCTCGACACCTTCCTGGAGGGCCAGGAGTACGTTGCTGGCGGCCAGCTCACCGTGGCGGACATTGCCATCCTGGCCACTGTCTCCACGTTCGAAGTGAGTGGCTTCGACTTCAGCAAGTACTCGAATGTGTCCAGGTGGTACGACAATGCCAAAAAGGTGACTCCAGGATGGGAGGAGAACTGGGAAGGCCTCATGGCGATGAAGGCGTTATTTGATGCCCGTAAACTGGCTGCAAAGTAATCGGTATCACGACTAGTTATTGTTTATTTATGAAACTGTTGAATTAAATAAAAGAAGTTAAGTGTTGTTAAGTATTAATGGAAGTATAATATGTAAGGGAAACACAAATTTTGAAGTCGCTTAGCGGCATATTAGAAAGCAATAACTAGAAGAGAATAATATAAGAGAATATACATACATGTGTCGAAATGGTTCCCTGAATTCTATAATCCGATACTGCAGAGAGCACAAACACGAGTAATTTGAGCATTTTGCACAAGCACATAGAGCAAAGAAAATAAATACACTTGGTGGGAGAGCTCTTTTCTCTAGAAAACAAAAACACAAACATGTGTGTGAGCATAGCTTTATTTGCAGCAATTTGTGGGTGTCCCAGGCAGTTATTTTCTTCCTCTCGAACGGGCAAGTCGAACCGATCGCACCTTCCGACATGGATCTTTACTATCTGCCCTTGGTCGGCGCTTGCCGCTCCGTTCTGATGGTGGGCAAGGCCCTGGGTCTGGAGTTTAACAAGAAGATAATCAATACCCTGGAGGGGGAGCAACTGAATCCGGATTTCATCAAGATCAATCCCCAGCACTCGATTCCCACGCTGGTGGACAATGGCTTCACCATTTGGGAGTCGCGTGCCATTCTGGTTTACCTGGTGGAAAAGTACGGAAAGGACGACTCCCTGTACCCCAAGGATATTCAGAAGCAGGCGGTGATCAATCAACGCCTCTACTTCGACATGAGCCTGATGTATCCCACCCTGGCAAACTACTACTACAAAGCATTTGCAAACGGCCAGTTTGGCAGCGAGGAGGACTACAAGAAGGTCCAGGAGACCTTCGGGTTTCTGAACACATTCCTGGACGGCCAGGACTACGTGGCTGGTGACCAGTACTCCGTGGCCGACATTGCCATTCTCGCCAATGTGTCCAATTTCGATGTCATGGGATTCGACATCGGCAAATATCCGAATGTGGCCAGATGGTACGACCTTGTCAAGAAGATTACCCCTGGATGGGAGGAAAACTGGGCGGGTGCACTGGATGTAAAGCAGAAGATCGAGCAGAAACAGAATTCTGCCAAATAATTAATTTATGAAGATTTTATTATACATATATTTAACATAAAGGGATGTTTATGCTTACAAGCCTTTGGTAACCATAGATAATGAATAAAGTGAAAAGGCCTTGCTTAAAGTCTGTTGCTAAAGAGAAATTTGTTGCCTAGACCCAATTCACTCAACCGATTGGCAATAATTGCATTATCAGAGCAATGATAAGAGGTTATTCAACTTTTGACAAGTATTTATTGAACGCCTGTTTTTTTTTTTTAATTTGAGGCTAAACAATTCACACGTACATATGAATAACAAATTACGATGACGAGTTGTTTTCCCATCATATGAGAGAACCCGTAATTTCAAAATTTCGCTATAAAAGAGAGAACCAGTGCTACTCGCAATTAGTACTGCTCTTCTCTTCCAGCGAATAGCACAGGGAACATGGATTTTTACTACTCACCTCGCCAAGGCTCTTGGAATCTAACTGAACAAAAAGAAGAAGATTACTCCCGGATGGGATGAAAACTGGGCGGGTCTGCTACAATTGAAAACAATATACGAGTCCCAATAATCCTCATCAAAGTAAATAGAGTTTTAATAAACTTATTTAAAAAAGAAACCATTGTGTTTGTTTATGTTTAGGTGTGACGACCTGTATCTTATCATAAACACAATCAAACTATAATCAGATGATAAGATAAGCAACAAAGTGAGACGAAGAGGCGAAGAGAGACAGGTAATTTCACCACCACATTCAATCACCTGAGTCTTGGGGGTTTAATCGCACTAAAGAAGCGTCGAGCAAACAATTATACTCAAATGGGGGCTATCTCGTAATTGTTTTGATATAAAAAGGGAGACCACCTATTATCCCAATCAGTTCTGGTATTGCCTTCCAGCGAATGACACCCATATAAACGAAATGGATTTCTATTACTCGCCCCGTGGAAGTGGATGCCGCACAGTGATCATGGTGGCCAAGGCACTTGGTCTGGAGTTGAACAAGAAGCTAGTGAACACCATGGATGGTGACCAGCTGAAGCCGGAGTTCGTGAAGCTCAATCCCCAGCACACCATTCCTACGCTTGTGGACAATGGTTTCTCCATCTGGGAGTCCCGTGCCATCGTCGTTTATCTGATCGAGCAGTACGCCAAGGACGACTCACTTTTCCCCAAGGATCCCAAGGAGCAAGCTCTAGTCAACCAACGCTTGTACTTCGACATGGGAACTCTGTACGAGAGCTTTGCCAAGTACTACTATCCTCTTTTCCGCACTGGAAAGCCAGGAACTGATGAGGACTTTAAGAAGATCGAGAGCTCCTTCGAGTATCTGAATATCTTCCTGGAGGGCCAGGACTACGTGGCCGGTGACCACCTCACAGTGGCCGATATTGCCATCCTCTCGAGCGTTTCCACTTTCGATATCTTTGATTTCGACCTCAGCAAGTATCCGAATGTGGCCAGGTGGTATGCCAATGCCAAGAAGGTGACTCCCGGATGGGACGAGAACTGGAATGGTCTTTTGGAGCTGAAGGCAGTGTTTGATGCACGTTTGTCGGCGGCGAAGCAATAAAGAAAATTTTATATTAATTTTATTTAGTTTTTAGTTTTAACGATTTTTAAAATATATACTACAAGTTTTGCTTGAGTTTTAAAACATTGGAAAAAACGACTTCCTTTTTATCGATGCTATATACTTCCCTTATATTTAATTATAAATCTGTTACGAACTTCTTATTCATAAATAAACATTGCTTAATGGCGATAAGCTTTCCCACAAAATTATTTGAAATAAGTGCCATGCTCACTGAGCCTCAGCTAATTGTTGTTAGCCAAAGTAGCGAAACGCTAAAAAAGTGAGTTCTAACAATGACAAACATATTCCTATAATCTTTGCTCAGGCTGATAGTGTTTCTGCTATTTTCCCATAAATACGGATTCCTCGATAGCGGGAAATCAGTTTACTTGTTTCACTTCTGAAGCTCGCACGGCTTAGTCGCAATGCCAAACTTGGATCTCTACAATTTCCCCAAGGCCCCGGCCAGTCGCGCCATCCAGATGGTGGCCAAGGCTCTGGGACTGGAGCTGAACTCCAAGCTGATCAATACTATGGAGGGTGACCAATTGAAGCCGGATTTCGTGAAGATCAACCCGCAGCACACCATTCCCACGCTCGTGGACAACGGATTCGCCATCTGGGAGTCCCGCGCAATCGCCGTCTATCTGGTGGAGAAGTACGGCAAGCCCGATTCGCCACTCTATCCCAAGGATCCCCACAAGCGGGCTCTGATCAACCAGAGGCTGTACTTCGACATGGGCACCCTGTACGACGCTTTGACCAAATACTTCTTTGCCGTCTTCCGCACTGGTCAATTTGGAGATCAGGAAGCTCTGGACAAGGTCAACTCTGCCTTTGGATTCCTCAACACCTTCCTGGAGGATCAGGACTTCGTGGCCGGCAGCCAACTGACCGTGGCCGACATCGTCATCCTGGCCACCGTATCCACCGTACAAATGTTTGCGTTTGACCTCAGCAAGTTCCCGAACGTGGAGAGGTGGTTCAACAATGCCCAGAAGGTTACTCCTGGATGGGAGCAAAACATTGAGAGTCTGCAGCAGGGGAAGAAGTTCCTGGAGGACATTAAGGCGGCAAAGGAAAAGGAAGGGAAGGCCTAAACAACATTATATAAATAATAAAGCTTTGTGTAAATATTCAAGTTTGTTTGCAAACTTCTGAAAACGCTATCATATGATGATAAGACATTGGACATTCTATTAGGTGCTCTCCTTATCTTCAAGTAAGTTGATGTGGGCGTTTGTTTGTTGCATAATAGCAAATCCAAGCAATACAGTCTCTGATAAGACTTAATAAATTCCGAATACCTTATATTCAAGGACAGGGAAGCCGCCAATGAGTAATATTTGACCAAACCACTCTTATCTTTATTGAAATATTATTTAAATGTGCAATTTGGCTGGCTTTCCGAATTTGTCAGCCATAGTTCTATCTAAGACATTAATCTGCTTGACCCTTCAACCTGACCTTTCTGTTTCAGTGCCTTCTGTACAGTCGCACAGCTCTAATGACCTATCATCAATTCGTAATTACTGCAGACGGAATAAATGACATTTTGAAGTAAATTCAAATTGGAAGCCGTAACTTTCGCACGCGTGTACACCTAAAAGTATATATGTGTTCATTACCTGGCCATTAGCTAAACACCTCATATTACACCGGATCGTTATCACCGATAAAGCTGCTACTCGGGAAAGTCGCCCGACACCGAATGACTATATATGGAAGTATTGATTTTGGCCGACTTTTGTGATGGCTATAAAAGCCGTCGGACCTTCTTAGCTGTGGTCAGTCGTGAATTAGATTCGTAGGACCTTCCATCATGGACTTCTACTACCATCCTTGCTCGGCTCCTTGCCGCTCCGTCATAATGACAGCCAAGGCCCTTGGAGTTGAAATGAATATGAAGCTATTGAAGGTCATGGACGGGGAGCAATTAAAGCCGGAGTTCGTGGAGCTCAATCCCCAGCATTGTATTCCAACCCTGGTGGACGATGGCTTCTCCCTCTGGGAGTCCCGTGCCATTTTGATTTACTTGGTGGAGAAGTACGGCGCGGATGACTCCCTGTATCCGAGCGATCCCCAGAAGAAGGCCGTGGTCAATCAGAGGCTCTACTTCGACATGGGCACCCTGTTCCAGAGTTTCATCGACGCCATTTATCCACAGATAAGGAGTAAAGAGCCGGCCGATCCAGTGGCCATGCAGAAAGTGGACACCGCCTTTGGGCACCTGGACACCTTCCTGGAGGACCAGGAATATGTGGCTGGCGACTGCCTCACCGTGGCTGACATTGCCCTGTTGGCCTCCGTTTCCACCTTCGAGGTGGTGGACTTCGATATAGCCCAGTACCCAAACGTGGCCAGGTGGTACGAGAATGCCAAGGAAGTCACTCCCGGTTGGGAAGAAAACTGGGACGGTGTCCAGCTAATCAAAAAATTTATCCAGGATGGCAATGAGTGATTTGATGAAAATGTCATTAGTACATACCCAACATGCCTAATACCTCGGCAAATTATTGCCATGCGTGGTTATATTGTAACTAGTAACAATAATGCATCAAATACATTCTTCTGAGCACCGTGATAATAAATTATTAAAATGGAACCCTCTTGTTGGACAATCTCAGGAAAGCAAAGCTCAACATATGGGGTTTTTTATAAAATAAACGAAAGTAACTTATTTGTTTACTCCCTCATCAACAAATATTTATTAATTCAGCTTTCCGGTGTGATAGGTTGATATCCGTGGAATTTATAATTATATTTAATTTTATTATCGGTATTTCACTATCACCTTACGAATTTTATGGAAATTTAAAAGATAAAAGCCATTACTTAGTATTCCCGAGTTCGAATCACACTAATCAGCCCCTCCTTATATTTAAAATATATATATATCCCAATCTCAGTCACGGCTCATAAAAGTGAGATAGTGTTTCTGCAGCTCTGTAAATTCCGCAAGTGCCCCACGACAATTGCCAATTGCGATTTCAACACTGCAGTTGAATGCACGCGATGATTTCACTGGTGTACTTGAACATATAAATCCACTTGGACCCCCTTTTCCCCCCAAGCATCCACGAACCACTTGGGCCGTTGACCGACCAACTATTAGAACAATCGCGAGTTCAGTTAGCTAACAAACGTGCCGCTTGTGGCATTGAGGGAGTACAAATTACATATGCAAGTGCACACACACGAGTATTTCACATGGGTCAGTGTGCGCCATAGAATCCGCAGAGGGTTGCTACAGAAGTTCCAAGTAATTGTAAGTAATTGTAAGCTAATAATCAATAATAAGTTAAGGATCATGGGATTCGATTATTACTGTTTGCGAAACATTTAAAAATATATTATTTCGAAAGCCTTTCTGTCTTATTAAGCCTGTTTACATATATTTAAAAATGCCTATGCGACTAATACATTTCCAGGCAAAATTGTCAACATCTTTCAAGAACCCCATGTAACAGAGAAAAGTGAAATCGTGTTTTATAGCATCATTAAAAGTACATTTTGCATTCCACCTAATTTACGAGCCAGCACTAAACCTACACCCATCGCGATATCCCTAGTTGGTCAACTCGGTCACCGCCTCCGAGGCCTCCACCAGCTTCTGCAGTTGCTTGTACTTCCGGATGGCGTTGCGCACGAACTCCGTTGCCCGACGCACCCGCTCCGGAGTCATCTCCTCGGCCAGCATGCGACCCACATCCTGGGCACCGCCCGTGCGCAGGATATTCACCGCACGGGCGGGTATTTCGCAGATCGGGGTGATCCTGCAGATGGCACTGGTGATGGCACCCCCAAACAGGATAATGCCCACGGCGGACACCACTACGGCGGCGATGCGAAAGAGCGTGGACATCAGGATGGTGGGCAGAAGATTGGAGACAAATGCCATCAGCGGATTCGAGGAGTTGGGCTGTGCAGCAGGAGCCAGCACAGTGGTACTGTCCGATGCTCCGGCGGTATTTGTGGGCATCAAGAAGCCCTCGTAGCCCGTCTGCACCACAATGGGTCCAGGGTACGGGTAAATGCCAGCTGCTGCTCCCGCCACAGGAGCCGGATAGGAGTAGGGAGCATAGGCTCCGTACTGGCTCAAGTACTGCTGAAAGGCCTCGGGAGTGAGGATGCCTCCAGCGTACACGGTGGTGGGATCAATGCTGCTTCCACTGGCCACATTGTCAGGCTGTGATGAAAGCATCGAATTTTTAGATAATTATTAAACTAACTAAAAGGTATATACGAGTATAACTTACCACCGCTGCTTCCGCGCTTCCATCTGCTGGAGGATTGGTTTCATTGCTGGTTGAAGCGACAGCGTCTGTGGGAGCGACAACTGGTTCGCCACTGCCCTCGACCAGATTTTCCGACTCTTCGACGGTGTTGGGCGTGGCAGCCGGAGGAGCTGCGTCCAGAGCTGGCACACACAGCGATCCACGGATCATCAGCAGCAGGACCAACAGCACATGGGATCTGCAGTTTTGAGGAACTTTGAGGAACATCATCTTCGCTTGGGCGTGGAAAATCAACTGATCCTGGCCAAGGCGCGATCGATTCTTTTATAGCCTCGCTTGGCTCGGCCATTTTAGTCTCTATTTTGCAATTAATGTCACAGTTCTCAGGAATCCTAGAGATCCCTTTTCGTTTCTAATCCCTCACACAAAGCATTCAGCCATACCTTACCTGATTGTAAGGGTGCAGGTAGAAGATGCCTCGGCCGTGGGACCCCGTCACCTGAAACATTTATGTCCTGGCTAATTACCACTGTGCCGACCATGTCCTTGAGTGGCCCTAAGAAATGTCAAGCACGCGATGAAGTCGTGACTGTCGAAAAATGTTTGCAGCAAACACGTCGAGTTCCAAGTGATGCCAATCAAAACCCCCCGCCAGCCAACCTAATCAGGTGCTCTGAATTGGAAAATCAGTTTTCAATCAATAAAGGCAAAAGCATGGCTTGGCACCTAATGTAGACGTATAATTTTAGACACGAATGTGAGCATTTTGGCCGAGTTTTCGACAACGCCCCCACACCAGCCACCACATACTTTTCGACCAGGCCAACACTCGGGCGGACTGTCGTCCATGGCAACGTTCGTTATGAAAACTAAACGAAAACAAATGCGCCCAAAGACAACGACAACAACGCTGGCGAGACAACATGCTCTGAAATTGGAAAAGTCAGACAGCGGATACGGCGGTGAGCAGCGTCGTCGGCAAGTTGGGACAGCTGAGGCAGATTCAATCACCAGATAGAATCCCACGCACCAGCCACCGGAGCATCAGCATCAGTCGCATCACGAGTCCCTTGCAGAGTCCTTGTTAGTCCTGCAGCAACCCAGCTCCGGCAAACGCGGACGCGGCCACACTCGACGGCATACTGGGGAACTGCATCGACATCGACTCGGTGGCCGTGGTGCAGCACAAGCTGGTGCACAGAATTGTGTGAGTAGGCGTCTCCAAGGGGTCGGTAGGTCGGTCTGGCTGATCCACTGCCTTCTGTGCATATTCCATAATGAATAAATAAGTGAGTGCAATTAAGTGCGGGCCACAGCACAGCGATTACCATTTGCAGATAGCAGAGCCCCAGGGGACTTGTTTCGAATTGGCAATTCCCTATATGCATTAATCAAAAATTACTAAATTATCCGTAGTGTTTCATTACAAAAACTTAGGGCAGCAGCACAAGTTTTAATTTTACATTTGCCATTGATTTTACATGGAGTAGCAAAATCGCTGCATACTTTTAGGCGGATGGTCAAACGACCAAAACCTTCAAAGGGATGTATTCAAAAGAAAGTTCTAAAGCATTTGCTGTTTTTATTATTTCTTAAATTTTAAGTAATAATCCTCAATTTATTTTCGTAATTTTCGTAATATCTACTTAATTCCATTAGAAATACATTTACAAATTGTATTTTCACGAACATTTTAAATGGCTTTCCTTGAAATTTACTTGAGAATAAAACCGCAGTGCTTACAGCCTTAAACAACTGCGCACTTTTTGCCAGTTCTCAAAAGACCACGCAAAGAACAATTGGCATTAATTAACTATAACTATGTAGACGAATAAAATCGATGCATTGATTATTTGGCGCTGACCGCCAAGAACCAAGTTTTTTGGGCCTGCGTGTGGCCGGAACTTGGCATTTCAGTTTCGGCCAATGTCCGACACGAAGCGTATTGTAACCGAATTCGTGTATTGCCTGCTCCTCAGAGGTGGCAAGATGTCGCCGCCCGTGCTGTACTACCTGCCGCCCAGTCCGCCCTGCCGCAGCATCCTGCTGCTGGCCAAGATGCTCGACCTCGACTTCGAGCTGAAGATCGTCAACATCCTGGAGGGGGAGCAGCTGAAGCCGGACTTTGTGGCCATGAACCCGCAGCACTGTGTGCCGACCATGAACGACGAGGGTCTGGTTTTGTGGGAAAGGTAAGTGTGCGATTATAACCGCTTTGACCCAGAAACTTACGAGTATATCCTTGCCTTGCAGTAGGGCCATACTATCCTACCTGGTGGCTGCCTACGGCAAAAGTGACGAACTGTATCCCACGGACATAAGGGTGAGGGCTTTGGTGGACCAACGCCTCCAATTCGATCTGGGCACCCTCTACATGCGACTCACGGACTACTATGTAAGTGCCTAATTTTATCTTAATTTTATTTAGGATATCTGTAGTTCACGTTTTGTTTTCTCAAAATAAATAATGGCCAATTCTAAACAGTTCCCCACAATGTTTATTGGAGCGCCCTTGGACGAAGGAAAGCGAGCCAAATTGGCGGAGGCAGTGGGCTGGCTAAATTCGATCTTGGAGGGCAGACAGTTTTCCGCCGCCGATCACTTCACCATCGCGGATCTCACGCTTTTGGTGACCGTTTCCCAGCTGGAGGCCTTTGAGTTTGAACTCCGACCCTATAAACATATCCGCCAATGGCTCGATCGCTGCAAGGATCACATGGCACCGTTTGACTACGAGGAGCTGAATGCCAACAAGGCCAATATGCTGGCCGATATGTTCAAGGCCAAGATGAACCAGTCTGCGGGCTAGCTGTTCTTTAAATCAGTGTTATAGTAGCGAACAAATATTTTCTATATAATATCAGTTGCGTAAGTGTTGTATTAAATAAATGAATTTTCTCTAAACAAGATCGTATGTTTTCCTGTGCAACGGTTTTGTGTTTTCGAATGTTATTTATTTAATTTTATTGTTAAATTGAATTTATTGTTAATAAAATAAAAACGACAAAATCATTTACAAATTTATACATATACATATAAAAGGCTAATATCCTTTCAGAGCTATTTTCCAAAATTGTCGTACTCAACAACAAACGAAATCAATACCCGAAAGCATTATCCCATTCCAGTTAGGCGTACAAAGTTAATAGGTATCCCTTAGCCCGGCCGCAACGAGATATCAAATGTAATTTTCATGTGAATTGGCAGTTAACTTAATTGAGTTTCAGTCTCCGAAGTGTGACAATCTAGATGAATTGACTGGTTCAAAGGGGCCAAAAGAGCTGTTAACTGGTGGCCACAGACGGACGCTCACAAAAAGATGACATGACACACATTTTAAAAATACCGCCACCCAAAAAGGACGCTGCTTCAAATGTCCTCAGGCAAATGGACGGTATTAACGTGTGTTTGCCAGTTTGTTTGGCCAAAAGGAAGGGGAAAAAAGGTGGTAGCAAACTAGCGGATGCTGATGACGGCACCGGCACCTGTAAAACCTCAACTGAAATTTAATGGCACGCCAACACAAAAAGGCAGAGGAGCTCGGTTTTATGCGAGGAGCGGGCTATTTTTATACCGGACATGGGACATCGGCAGCTCTCAGCTAGACGGCAGGATAATGGAATCCTGCTTCGCAGTCTCACATCGGTCGCTGACAATGCCGGCCGCATCCTTGGCTCTGGGATTAGTCGTGGTCCTGTTGGCCACCGGAAATGGACAATCGCAGCAGCCAGTGGCCAACAGCAAGCAGTCGCATCTCTGGCTCGGTGGGTTCAAATGATTAGTTTGCAGTTCAAGAAGTTGCTCCTATATAACATAAAATTATTATAAAATGAAAAGGAATTACATTTTTATTTATGACGTTCAACTTAAGCTTTTTGTTACCATCCCTTTTCAGATTGCTCCTGCCTTCACTTGTCCGAGCGAAATGCCACCCAATGGGGCAGGTTGGCCATCAATGCCAGCCATTCGCTGGGAGCCAAGAACAACTGCCTGATGATCTTCATTGGCGGAATGGACGACGAGCTGGTGGCCTTTCAGCTCGAGCAGTTGCAGCTGCGCGCCGGGTGAGTGGCAATGCTTCCGGCGCAATTCCGTGATCGATTTGCGGGGAGCAGGGATTGGGAGTCGATCCGATCTCAAATCGGCGGACAGCTGCCAGAGACAGCCATCAAAATCGAATCCGTCGATGGATAAGGCTGGCGTCCGTCGCGGAAATGCCGTGGCCAAATGCGGAATGGGCCAGGAGATGGTTGGAGATGGTAGCGAGAGGCCAAATCCCCAAACGCAGCGGCTATGTAATTAAAATACCTTGCGAAGGCCATGTGGGCGGTCCGTTTTGGTGGAGCCGTGGCCGCCGGCACGCCTGGTTATTTATATAAATCCCGCAAATTTGTGTCAATTTATGCAAAATCGTATGCATCCACATTTGCGCCATAAAAATAACGCACACAATATTTCGGAATCGATTTGTCAATAAAATTGGAGAGCACTGGCCAAGCACATTTCAGTGGATCTTGCCGACTGGCCGAGTGCTCCGCCAAACGTATGCGTAATATTTAAGGTGCATCCGTCGCTGGGAAAACGCGTCCGAATCGCTGGGATATTGCGAGCAATACGAGTGTCCTAGTCGGTGGTTGATAGAGTTCCGTGTTTGAAGTCGTTAGAAAAACGCGTTCGAACCGTCGGTAAATCGATTTTGAAAACGTTCCTCAATCGCCAGCAAAATGTGGTTTTGATTCAGAGAAAAAACTCAAGAACATTTAATAGCCTGGAAAATTTAACTGTCTAACAAAAATTTTTCGAAATTTGCTACAAAAAATACATGCTCTAGTTTATATTCCATTGTTGTAATACTTTTGGTGCCGCTTTAAGACCTTAAGATATGGATATGTTATTTTCTCTGAGTTAATATCGCTAATATATCGCTTTGGAAATATTTTAATATTTTCAAATAAAGTTTTTCAACCTACAAAACTAGTTTGTGAGTGATCGAGAGAGTTGATAGTGCAAATACTCCTTCAACATGTCGATGGATCCATCGGTTTCCCTCGAGGATCTGGAGCGAGTGAGTGAAATAAGTTGCAGTGAAAAGCAGTCAAAAAACTACGGCAATACAATTTTCAATACAGCGTCGTCGTCGCACCAGTTCCGCCCGCAAGCCATCACATACTCCTCAGCCTCCATCTCACCTGGCGGACTCGGAGGCCATGGCCGTGATCAATGAGATATTCAATCCCACGCTGAAGCTGCCGGAGTCCAGTGGCCACTACACGCTGCCCGAGGAGATGAGGGCCGATGATAATGTGGCGCCCCATGAACTGGACATTGCCAAGCTGGCGGAGCTGAAGGAAGTAAGTTTTCGAATGATGCAGACACCGTGGCTCACTCCGTGGATTCTTCGAAGGTCTTCTCGCTCTTCGATACGGACTGCGATGGACTGATCTCGAAGGACGATCTACGATTCACCTATACGGCCCTGGGAAACGACCCGAACGAACAGCTACTGGAACAGATGATGCAGGAGGCCAAGGAGCCGCTCGACTACGAAGCCTTCGTCCGGCTGATGAGTCGTCGCACCCAGGAACTGGATCCCGAGGATGTGCTGCTGGAGGCCTGGAGCAAATGGGATGACCATGGCACGGGCAAAATCGATGAACGCAAGTGGGTGCCACCAAAGTCCAAAAGAGTGGACTAGCACAGTGATAGTCTCCATTTGAACACTCCCCAGAATCTATGAAGAGCTGACCAACTATGGCGACAAAATGACCCTCAACGAGGCCAAGGAGGCTCTAAGCCACGCCCCAATGGCCAAGCCCAAGTCCTTGGAGGAGCCGCCCATGATTGATTATCCGGCCTTCTGTCGCATGCTCAGTGGAATGCGCAAGCGAAAAGGGGAATAATTTACTATTGTTGGGGAAACTTAAAAACCTTTGCCTTAAATTCAGATCCAGTGATCTAACGTCTTTTTCCAGCCCACCAACTAATTACACGTCTTCTTCATTTTTCTTAAGATATCATTACCCTATGTTGTTTATTTTATTTATAGGAAAATTCGGAATGACTTTGTTGTGTTCCTTATGGTTTTTATAGCCACTACGTATTTGCTTAATTGGGATATATTTTTGAAAATTACTTAAAGTCCTGAAGCAGCTGGTCCGATTTGACAATCGTATTAGCCTTAACGCCAACTTTTGTTCGACTTTTTATCAAAATAAATCGTGAAGAACCAGCGAAGCGTTGGGAATTATTTCTTAATGGACATTTTCTGGCTGCGATGGGGTATATATTTATAGGGAGGCAGGCTGACCAACGAGCCAGCCCCAAAAGTATCGGCCAATAAATTTTAGACATCATTACGCATCTGCCCTGGCCAATGCAAGCGGCCCGGGTTATTCCCCCTTTCGATGCCACCTCATCCAATGTGGATTGCAATTTCGTGACAGGTGCTTGGACAGCGTGGACGTCTTTCCCTTTTTGCGGGATCCCGTCATCGAGAACGCGACACTGGCGGCGGACACCTTCTGCCAGCACAGCCGGGAGCGCAGTGCCACGCCTATTTATAGCGCGGGTCGATTGCTCGGACTGCGCCTCCGGTTCCAGCAGCCGCCCACCGACCTGGCCAGCTGGAACTTGACCCTCAGCGCCAGCTATCGATTTTTGAAGCGAGGTGAGTTGACTTAGGTACTTCCGTGAGCTAAGGCACTTTTAAAACGTATTTAATAAATACTTTAATAGCAAGTTATTTTAGTTTTTAAGATATTTTACCATGAGTTTGCTGATGTAGGACGCCTTCCAATCTTTGTTCGCAACGAGAACTGTATCATAATTGTAATAATAAGTGGTCCAATTGGTCCACCTGCTACGTATTTACATACATAAGCAATGCTTCTTTTGTGTTAGTTTTTCTTAATTTTAATAATTGCCCCTATTAAATGGGATAAAAGAAGATACAAAAAATTTATTTAAATGAATTATTTAATTTGTCATAGAAAACTTCCGGACGGATGGTCGATTAGTTCCGCACAGCTTCTGCGACTTCTACTTCTTCGCCAGCTTGTCCGGCGAGGATGGAAATGTGGGCCAGGGCTACTTCCACTCGCCCCAGTTTCCCGCACACTACCCGGCGCACATCAAGTGCGCCTACAAGTTCATCGGTCGGCCGGACACCCACGTGGAGATCCTCTTCGAGGAGCTGCAGCTGCCGCCGGTGGTCAGTGGAGGATGCCAGTTGGATGCACTTACTCTGTTCGACGCGGAGTCCGCTCACATGAGCTCGGTCATCGATGTAATCTGCTCCAGCCGACCCACCCGCCGTCTGGTGAGCACTGGTCCCGATCTGCTGCTCGAGTTCAATGCCAGCTCCAATCGCACGGCCAAAGGATTTCGGGGAAAGTACAAGTTCGTGCCGAATGAGCTGGGAGTGCCGGAACCCACTTCCCCATCTCCGGCGGTTCTGGAGGCAGCCAGTGTGGCGATGAAGCATGAAAAGCTCCAGCAGGAGCAGTCCTTCGCCGCCAAGCAGAACAGTCTGCCGTTGGATGTGGAACTGCCGAAGCCCGGTCGCTCATTTGGTGAGTTGGCGCCCCATAAATTAGCTTTACATTTGCGTCCCAATACCCTTGTTTATAGCCAAATATACATTGGAAGGAAGTGGAAATAGGTTTGTTTTCTGGATAACTAACCATATTTATCCTTAACTTAATTATCCGAACTATAACATAAAGTATTCACATTTTTTATTATCAGCCCATTTAATTACTATTAATAATTCTATTAGTAACAAAATATTTTGTGCAGACTTTAATAACTTTCATCGCAGCTTAAATGGATTACAAGTTGTTTTCGACAAAAGATTTCCTATTATATATTATAAATTATTATATTTTTTGTTAGTGCTTCTACACAACCCCTCCTCTCATCCCAGCCCCCTATTAGCCAAAACCCAAATCGAATTAACTTAGTCGATGGCAAATGGCGGCACATCTAGGCCCTCCACGCCCGGCGACATTCGACAGCTTCCGTCTGGTTTGGTCCGGAATCCGCGGCGGAAACGGATGCGGCCAATTCACAGCCTTGGTCCCGAGTGATTGGCCATGTAAATGGCTCTGGGCTGTGGGCCTGGCTCAGTTTATTGCCAACTGTTGTCACGTTCAAATGGCGGGGCTCGCAATGTTGTTCGTAAGACTTAGTCTATGGTGTAATCTTATTAGCCAATTGATAGCATCCTGTTCTCCGCTGCCCATTAGTGAGTCCATACTTCGGCCAAAATATTTATGTACTCACATATATTTTTAAAGTGAAATATTGAAAAAAATTAATGAAGTGGTTATAGTTATTTAAAAAAATGGCCAGCAATGGCAACCCCTATAAAATTGCTATTTTTAATGCTAAAAAGGAAGTATAGACAGTGAGTAAATCATTGCCAATCAACTTTATTTGTGATATCTATATAAATGGGCCCAGTAGGCGCTTAAAAATTGACCATAATATTGCGACGGCACCGCTACAAAGAGTGAACTGCAGGAGCCGATGAAGAAATTTAAACCTGTGCCAAAAACACAAGAAATATTTCAATTAATAATATGAACAATAATATGAAATGGGCTTTTATAAATATATAAAAATAAATCCATCAAAATCCCTGAGGGGGATAGGTACGATTATTTGTATTATAATACTTTGCAAGTATTCAAGTTTCCCACTCACCTCCTGTAGATCCTTTGTCCGTTTTCCAGTATGTCCTGTCCTGGTTTCTCCTTTGCAAGGTAGATGCGAACCCCGGCCAGGGCTTGCAGGAAGTAATCGTCCCAGTCGACGCTGCTCATATTGAAGTCGTAAAGCTTCTGATCCTCGGCAGACATTTTGGCCCACAGCTTGCGGGTGTTGACGGTATCGAAGAACCAGGATGTGATCACAAAGGGCGCCAGAATATCAATGTTCTTGTGGATTTTGTCGTACAACTTGATCATGCGCGGCTTTTTGCCCCATATACGCAGGACCAGATCAATGGCATAACCGGGTAGCAGGTGGTAAAAGATGGCCGTGAACCGGAATAGCCAGGGAATGGTGGTGCAGTGCAGAAACGGCATCCACATCATCTTACTCAGGGGATAGTTGTACCGCAGCAGAGCTGCCTTGTCCCGGAAGCCACCCCAGGTTATCAGGTTATCCTCGTTCGGCGTAAAGTTGTAGATAGGTGGCTCCGGGGATTGCTTGATGCTACTATCCCGGGCCGTGTTCCAAGCGCAGGCCAGCACCATATTGACGCAGTAATCCACGGGTACAATGCCAGCCTGGGCCTTAAGATTAAGCAGTGTGATACGCAGTATTCCGAAGGCTGCTCCGTAGAGAACTGCAATGGGTCCGTATAGGTTGTCGATCCAGCCGGGCATGGGCTCCTTATAGCTGGCAATTACTGTGGAAGACTACGGATTAGACGAGGAATTTAAGTCCCAACGAAAAGTACTTACTAACGCCTGGTCGAAAAATGCTAAGCGGCAAATCCTTCGCCTCCAGCTGGAGCACTTGCTCCGCCAGCGCCTTGGTATACGTATACGTATTGGGATACTTGCCCAGCAATGCCGGTGTCATGTCATCCAACAGCTCAGGACTAAGGCTTTCCAGCAGCTCCAGGATCTTGTCGGCAGTGCAGTTCAAGTACTCCGGGTAGTAGCGCTCACTGACGTGCTCCACCACGCAGTTTGAGTACGCGGTGGACACATGGACGAAGGACTCCAGGTGGGCCATCTCCCTGGCCAGTTGAATCATGAGTCGGGTGGCCCGTGTGTTCACCGCCAGTGCGATGTGCAACGGCTCCACAAAACGCACAGTGGCCGCAGTGTGGATAACAATCTGCACCTCATTAACCAAAACCTGGCGATCGCTGATGCTCAGGCCAAGATCCGGCTCCTGGCAATCCCCAGCAAAAGGTACCACTCGCTTTAAAGCCTCTGGATTGGTTTTCATTAGATTAACGAAGACCTGAAACCAAAATGTTTGATAAAGAAATATTTTAACTGTGTTTGCACCATTAAAGGGTTCAACAACTTTAGTATTTTGCTTATGCTGCAAAGAAGATCAGGAGAAGACTTTTATGGAATTGGAAAAGGATGTCTTACCGGATCCTTATCCCAGGCGGCGCATCGCTCCCGCATTTCCTGGCCGCGCTTGGATCGAAGCAGCACATAGATGCGCTTCACCTCCGTGGTGCGAAGCAGCTTCTCAATGGTCACTGAAACGGCAATAAACTTGTTCTTGATCTTGAACTTGATCTGATATATGGAACTGTGACGGACGGTTCTGCGAATTTGCTTGTTTTGGCATCACATTTCTAACCAACTTGGCCAATGCAAAAGCATCTCACAGGTTTTTCACCTTTAATTTATGTGTCTTATGCATTTGTAACACACTCTAGCCGATCATTTGATTCTTTGTAACTAGAACTCGGAATACCTTTTCCAAGGAACCCACTGCCGCCGGTTAGAAAGACAGTTTTGTCTTTGTAAAAAGTTTGCACATCCGTGGCCATTTTCGGTGGGCTCTTGTAACGATCCTTTTCGCGAAGTTAGGCCGGAATTCCGTGTTCCGTTTTCCGTATTCAGTTATCCGTAATCCGATGTCGACCGAGAACGGCGCAGACTCGACTGATGCTTGAATGAGAGGTGTTCAGTGTTTTTTCACCACTTATTTATACCCGATTTTGCCGATCGCAAAGTAACAATTGTCTTGCCAAACTCGCACTCACACATCCATGGGCGTCGTAAACACTTACCTAACCGCCAAACGAAAGCTGGCGAAGTTCACCCCGTGAAGCTGCATATTACGTATACGCCCAGTTAAACATGTGCCATTAAACCATGAGCACTGCAGTTGACCTGCTAGGTAAACAATTAGCCTGGCCCTATCTGCTGAAATTACACTGAAATTAGAACCCGAGGTTTTATCACTTTGTGGTCCAGAGGATCCGATCGGAGACGCTCAGGTGTCAAGAGGCGTGAAAGAGGCGGCCTGTGAAATATCCATTTGGCTAATTGGAAAACGTTGTGCCGGGTTGAAGTGCACCTCACGGAAAGGGAGTGAAACCCGGTAGTTGGACAAACGGCATGGGCATAGGTAATTGAATTCGAGTGTGCGCACCCATGTGTTGAGTGTTTGGACAGTCAGTCTGACTCGAGCCTAATGAATGTGCTCAGACAATGAGTGGCGATTGACTGCCTAATTAATATGGGGAATGGAAATGCAGACGTGGTAATTCTATTCGCTATTATGTAATTATATAGTTGGAACAACCTTCGATTACCAACCAATTGCACAAGAAATGGTGCGTTGCACCATTGGCACATTCTCTGCAATCCACATTTTCTAGTGGCTTTTCAGGAATACATTTTTAATTTTTACACCAATTGACCCCGGAGCACTTCAAAGCAAATTGTTGTTTTCAGATCCAGCAAGAACAAACTCATTATTTATTGTGAAATTTAACACAACGCTTTAACCTTCAAACCTGTGCAAGTTTTATTTATTATAAGCTCTTAACACTTATAGTAGTGGCCATACATTTTTGATTAATATCCAAACAAAGGCTCCAAATAAGAAAACTAATACAGTTTTAAGAAGCCTATCAAATACATAAAACCTGTAAAAATTAAAATGGCTTATAATAGTTATATCTTTGTAGTGGTTGACTAGGACTTACCTATTTAAAATTCGCTTCCCCCGAGCAATGGATTCTGGCGTTCGGAGGTCCTTAAACAGATATAGTCGTATTCCGTCCATGAGAGACGTGCAAAACTCTTTCCAGTTCAATGTCGACATATCAAAGTTGAATATCTCCTTGTCCACCGACGACATGGACTGCCACATTGCGTCAGTATTTGTCATGTCCATAGTAAAGGTTTTACTTGAGAAGGGAAACAAACTGATCATGCCCTCATGGACCTTGTGATAGTTCTTTATCATCATCGGCTTTTGACCTTTCAGACGCAGGATAATATCCAGGAAAAATCCGGGAATCATGTGATAGAAGAAGACGCCGATCCTATACAGATAGGGGCATGTGGTGCAATGGTTAAATGGGTACCAGATCATTTTTTCATTTGGTACCTCCAGACCATTTTGATAACATTCGTTGATCAGTTCTCCATAAGTCAGCAAATTCGATTCGCAGGGTGCAAAAGCGTAAATGGGGGGCGGACCTTTTTTATTCTGCTTAGAGATCTTGGCTATCTGGACAGCTGAGGCGATGGCCACGTTGACGCAGTAGTCGGCCGGAACTACAGGAGCAGAAACTTTAAGATTAACCAGCACTAAGTGAACAAATCCGTAGGCAGTGGCAAATATCATGGCTATCATCCCTTGCAGGCCATCAACCCATCCTCGCACAGGTTCCTTGAAGGTGGATAAAACTGCAATTCCAGATTGTTTGTCTTAGAACAGTAGCTTCTATATAACTTGTTGATTAAACTTTATATCACAGTGATCTATGTGTGATTGATTTGTTCCTATGACTGGAGCAAATACTTACTGATCGCTGGTCGAAAAATGCCGACCGGCAGGCCCTTCGCCTCCTCCT